TTTAGGGGAAGTTGTGACTGTTCAAGGTGGTACCATACTGCTTTAAGTTTATAGTCCTGTTGAGGACTTAGTCATGCTGATAGGAGACCCATTTAAACCAATGGTGCTTAAGTTGGTCATAGTTAAACCTCATTTATTTCAATGGCCTAGTAATATGTATGACTAACTGTGCAATCCTAACCATGTCAACTCAGAGGTAGGTTCTGCTGAATTCAATGGGGCTGACTCCCCAATAACTGGGGTTAGGACTGCAGCATAAGTATGGATCCAATCCATAATCTTTGATCAGGCTTACTCCTGTATGTTGTGGTAAGATAGAATGCCTATCTCTCATGTCACCACCAATTATGCCTCAGATGTTGATGGGACCAAGAAAAGGTGCTCACTGAAGGATCTTAGCAGCCAGACAGGTTTGTATAAGGAGATATAATCTTTCAGGTAGCCTGCGGCAAAGCCATATAGGGTGTTAGGGGTCATAAAGGTAAAGGGACCCCTGACCATTAGGTCCAGTTGTGGTCGACTCTGGGGTTGTGGTGCTCATCTCGCTTTATTGGCCAAGGGAGCCAGTGTACAGCTTCCGGGTCATGTGGCCAGCATGACTAAGCCGCTTCTGGCAAACCAGAGCAGCGCATGGAAACCTTGTTTACCTTCCCGCTGGAGTGGTACCTATTTATCTACTTGCACTTTGATGTGCTTTTGAACTGCTAGGTTGGCAGGAGCAGGGACCGAGCAACTGGAGCTCACCCCGTCGTGGGGATTCGAACCGCCAACCTTGTGATCGGCAAGTCCTAGGCTCTGTGGTTTAACCCACAGTGCCACCCGCGTCATAACCAGCACTTATTACAACTGTGTGGGTATTATCCTATCCACATTTGCCCCATTGCCCCATCTCGGTGGGGTTTACTTTCAAGCAAACATGCATAGCATCATGGCTTGTTGGCACACATGGTCTATTTTTTAAAAGCTGAAAGAACTTAGCATATGTAGTTTAGAGAAAAGAGTGATTAAAGGGTGGAGGATACAGTAACAGTTTGCAGATTTGGATAAAACAGGTTAAAATGGCACTTTTTTGCAACCAAGTTGCTCTAGATCAGGGTGGTCCAACTTTTCATAGCAAGTGGACTGCAGGAGTACTTTGACACAGATCCCATGAGCAGAATATATATTTCCACAGCGTAAATTAAAGTGTTGGCAATATATTTAATATGATTTAATATACACAATATAGTTAATTAAATATATGCATAATTAACTACACATTTAATATATTTAAATGATATTTCAAGTAATCAGACTTAATTTTTTAAGGCTTTAAGATGTAATTTCTTGAATGTTGCCAAGGTCTGCCAAAAGCAGCCTGCAAGCTGCAGATTGGACCACCCTGTTCTAGATTGTCTTGATAATCCTGTCAGGACACTATAAGAACAGTCAGGCAGTGGAATAAATTGTCAAAGGAGGAAGTGATCATGCAACGTCTCTGAAAGTTTCTCAAGAAAGGAACGGAGGAGGTTCTGCACCTCTTAGCCATGCACAAGACTCTATGTGCAACAGCTCTGAATTAACGTCTCATGGGCCTCCTTAAACAGGGAATTCTGAGGGTTCTGTGAAAGAAAGACTTGCTCCCTATGTCCACACATTCAAAGGGCAATCCTATGGCAAGATCTGCTGGGATGAGCAGTTTAGGATTTCCAGCTCAGCTGGGATCAGCCAGCATTAACTCCCCAACCCTGGCTCAGCAGTTCAGAAGCATGCCAGTGCAAGTAAATAAATAGGTACCGCTGCACGGGAAGGTGTGCCAGTAGCGGTTTAGTCATACTGGTCCCATGACCCCATGACCCAGAAAGATGTCTGTGGACAAACACTGGCTCCCTCAACCTGAAAGTGAGATGAGCACCACACCCTATAGTCGCCTTTGACTGGACGTAATCGTCCAGGGGTCCTTTACCTTTTTTGCCTTTCTGCAGGTGTAATTTGCTTATTCTGACCCAGCCAGCTGAACCAAAGGTGGCAGGGCTGAGGCTAATATAAATTCCCCAAAGGGGCATTCTGGGGGAGTGGCAGAGGCAGTACCACAAACGGGGTACTTCGGCTGGATCCTAAATCCATTCTCCTCAGTTCACATCATGACCTGACAACCTGGTATGACTTGCTATTTTAAAAGCTTGTTTACCCTCTGCCAGGCTTATGCAGAACAGCAGCAGCATCTGCTAAATGAGTCCTAGATCTGTTGCAACTTTAAACCAGATTCTGGTGTATGGGATTGCTTCCTGAAGAGTGCAGTCCTATCTATACACATCTGTTCAAAAGGAAGTACAGTGGTACCTTGGGTTAAGTACTTAAATCATTCTGGAAGTCCGTTCTTAACCTGAAACTGTTCTTAACCTGAAGCACCACTTTACCTAATGGGGCCTCCCGCTGCTGCCGTGCCGCCAGAGCACAATTTGTACAGTGGTACCTCGGGTTACATACGCTTCAGGTTACAGACTCCGCTAACCCAGAAATATTACCTCGGGTTAAGAACTTTGCTTCAGGATGAGAACAGAAATCGTGCTCCAGCGGTGCGGCAGTGGGAGGCCCCATTAGCTAAAGTGGTGCTTCAGATTAAGAACAGTTTCAGTTTAAGAACGGACCTCCAGAACGAATTAAGTTCTTAACCACTGTATCACTGTGTTCAATGGTGCTTATTCCCAGGTAAGTGGATTTAGGATTGCACCTTTAGAGTCAGCTTAGTTTATACAATCAGTAGAAAAATGGTGAAGCCCAGTGTCTTTTGTAACATCTACCCTAGTGTGTTCTTCTTCTTAGTTCATAATAATAACCATTATAAAAATATATACCATCCTAGGAGTCTTGGTTGACCACAAACTTGACATGAGCCAACAGTGTGACGCGGCAGCTAAAAAAGCCAATGCAATTCTGGGCTGCATCAATAGGAGTATAGCATCTAGATCAAGGGAAGTAATAGTGCCACTGTATTCTGCTCTGGTCAGACCTCACCTGGAGTACTGTGTCCAGTTCTGGGCACCACAGTTCAAGAAGGACATTGACAAACTGGAACGTGTCCAGAGGAGGGCAACCAAAATGGTCAAAGGCCTGGAAACGATGCCTTATGAGGAACGGCTAAGAGAGCTGGGCATGTTTAGCCTGGAGAAGAGGAGGTTAAGGGGTGATATGATAGCCATGTTCAAATATATAAAAGGATGTCACATAGAGGAGGGAGAAAGGTTGTTTTCTGCTGCTCCAGAGAAGCGGACACGGAGCAATGGATCCAAACTACAAGAAAGAAAATTCCACCTAAACATTAGGAAGAACTTCCTGACAGTAAGAGCTGTTCGACAGTGGAATTTGCTGCCAAGGAGTGTGGTGGAGTCTCCTTCTTCGGAGGTCTTTAAGCAGAGGCTTGACAACCATATGTCAGGAGTGCTCTGATGGTGTTTCCTGCTTGGCAGGGGGTTGGACTCGATGGCCCTTGTGGTCTCTTCCAACTCTATGATTCTATGATTCTATTACATATCATAAATCATATTATTATACGGGTATGTAAAACTATTCAGTATGGTTATGAAATATGGTTAAGAATGACCGTCCACCTGCTGTTTTTTTATATATTCTATAAGCTGCCCAGAGTGGCTGGGGAAACCCAGCCAGGTGGGTGGGGTATAAATAAAAATATTATTATTATTATTATTGCCTGCTGTTATATTCTACAGCAAAATACAAATGCTTTAAAAGAAAACAATTCATCAACACAAACTGTATCACTACAAATGTGCAAAACAAGTTTCAAAGCAACAAACTATCTCCATGTGCTGCTTCAGTGTTACTCTTTTGTATCTAATGTTTGTGCGTATTTTTGTGCAACACATGTTTCAATTGTACAGCGTCTGCCATGTTATCCTGTATTTCCATTCGGTGGAACTTAAGCCTATGGATTGCAATAGGTTTAGGAAGATATTGCTCTGTATCCATCCTTTTTATTTGTGACTACACATTGACGACACTCCAAAAAATGATCCAATGGTTTGGATTAACTTTTCTCTCTTTCCTCCTTTTTTCTTTTTCTTTTTAAGTGCAACAAAAGGCAGTCTGTTCTCGTTTTACAACTTCTTAAAAACAAAACGCAGGGTGGTTTTTCAATGAATATGCTGCAACATGCAGTCCAGTCAAACATGCCCGGACCCATTGATCCCACAGGACTGGGCTGATCCCCTCATGACTCTCTCTGAGCCAACGGATTCTTCTGTCTACAGCAAAACACAAACCACCAAAGAGTTCCGACCTTGATCGGTGCCATCCACGTGCTGCTCCCCGTGCGCTCACATGCCCGGCGTAAACAGGAGGTGGGACTGGAGGAGGAGGCGGCGAGAGAAACCCCGCGGACTTTGGAGAACTTGGGCGCAGCAGCCCTTTAAAAAGCACCGCCGAGCCCGCGCTTGCAGCCAATGGCGCCCGAGCGAGCGCTGAATATGCAAATCGCGGGGCGGGGCCTGCGCCCGAGCCGAAGTTCGCCTTGCCAAGCAAGCAAGCAAGCCTTTGTGGGAGCCTCTTGCTGCTTAAAGAGCCCTCCCTCCCTAACCAGGAAACAACATCTGTTAAGAATGACAGCTCCTTGTTTTGAGTCCTTTGTCTGCAACTGTGTCACATTATCGGGGCTGCAGTGCAGCAGCAAGGAAAAGGGCGGATGGGGGGGGCTGGGGAAACACACAAAAAACACGCGACTGCTTTCTGGCATTTCCTGCCCTTCTGGTTTTAGAGCCGAAAAAGTGATAAAAAAATAATAATAAAATCCACCAAATACCCCCCCCCCCCACGCGCGTTACAACACCACCCTTTCCTATCCGGCTCCCCTGTTAGAACAACCCAATAGAGATATCCCAATAAAAAGTCTCCCACGCCTTTGTGTGGGAAAACCCCCAAAGGGGGAGAGGCTGGCGTCTCTGCCAGTAGCCAGTAGCCCAAGCCCGCTCGCTCGCCCGCCCGCCCTGGCGCTGTTGGGGAGACGGCGAAGCAGCAGCAGCCTCCGCCTCTCCCGCCCTCGTTCGGATGGCAGTCACGTCCGCCGCTGGGAGCGACGCTGGGGCTCCGCCGAGCGAGGAGGGAGCAGACGTCAAAACGGCCTTATGAATATTGATGCGGAGGCTAGGCTGCTTTCGTAAAGGAGCAGAAGGAAGCAAGATGGCTGCCCTTTAGGATTGGTTAGCAGGGAGAGCAGATTGCTTCGGCTGGATTCGGCGAGGCGGAGGGGACTGCTGGAAAGAGGTCAGAGGCGCGCTTCTCTCTCTCTCCTTCTTCCCTCTCTCTCTGTCTCTCTCTTTCCCTTTCCCCCCGTTCCGAAACGCTCTCCTTTTCTGACCTCCTTTAGTAGCCCGTGGGGCTCCTTGGTGTGACTTTTAGAGAAAGAAACACACACACACAACTCTCCGCGGGTCCAAATGGAAAAGAAATTTACAGCAGCTTCGCAAACATGGCTGACAAATAGAAAAATTCGAAGCTATTTTGGGGGTTCCTTCCCCCTTCTATGTGTCTAGCTTTCGCCTTGTGAACTTTGCTGTTTTAGCTACTTGGGTTTGGGGTGGGTGAGTTCACCCCCACACACACCTTTGTGTTTGTTGGACAGAGAAGTCGATCTGCTTTAAGTTTTGCTTTTTTCTGTCTTATAAAATTGCACTTCTTTTTCCTCCTCTTAGCTTCCACGCTACACCCCCACCCACCCCCAGTTGCAGCCGCCCTTTAAACGTGTGTTCTCGCTTACACACGTGCTGAGTTCTTAATCGCGTCCGGGCTTTATTCTGGAAAGAGACTCCCAAGTGGCCTTGGGGAAAGCAAGTTTGCGGAGGTCGCTTTACAAAATTAAAAAAATCGATGGTTGGGTTATGTGACCAAAACTTTAAGAGTATATGCCCTTATTTAAAAAATAATAGCAATAAAGTGGAAGAGGGTTTGTGATCTCTGGGCAAAAGCAAACTCTTTCTTGAGAGGTGCCTAGCGTTAGAGGGCAGGGACGTTCTGCCTGGACGCAGCGGGTTAGAGAGGCGTGCGTGCGAGATTTTTAATGTGTGAAAGTGGTTTTTTCCCCCGGCTTTGTGCTTTTCATGAATCAGCTCTCATTTGGTTTACCGGTGAGTGACAAGCAGACACAAAGGCAGGCGCAGTCCAAGAGAGAGGGCGGGAGGGGGGAAGAGAGAGAGGGGCTGTGGACTTTTCAGGACGGCAAGGTCAGGGGCGCAGAAGGAAAGTGAAGCCCCCCATCCTGGGGAAGGAAGAGAGAATTGGAGAGGACATTTGCTCCCCGGCTTCTTTTCTCTACCTTTGCAATTCTCTGTGCTATCTTGGCTTCGTAATTGCTGGATCCCGTGATGAGAGCCAGTTACTCAATGTGGGCGGTGGGCGCGGGGTGGGAGGACGACGAGGGAAGCTTCCTTATGTCGTTTTAAAATAATTGCCATTTAACGAGATCAAGGCTACTAAACCATAATCTACCCGGAATGTGCCAGTCAAATGCAAAACGTTGTGCCTTCTTGTATTTATTATTTAGCATTAAACCTAATTCCAATCACTCCCATAGGTCATATGTTAGATCTGTAATGGGAGCTTTAATCGAATTGGAAATGTTTCTTTTTTGCCACTTAGCAGGCTTTCTGCAAGAATACTTGGGTGTACGTTATATACAATTTGCCTTTGTAAACTGATTGTGGTGGGGATGGAAGGAGCTGATGTGATCTTAGCAGCTTTCCACTGAAACGTTCGCTCTGATGATCTCATTTTGAGATATGTTTTTCCCCTCCATGGTGAGTATGCAAATACAAAACCTGATACCATGAGATGGTAAGCAATGGTAGGATAGGACTTGTCTGGCTGTTATATATTCACAAATGGATTTTTAAAACAATGACGGAAAAGATGCCTTCCCTCTGTAGAAGAAGGTCAGTGGGTGGTTGTTTGCTAGCTAATAAGGCCATTGTATTTGCATTTTAATGGCAGGCTGACACTCCAGGAAGAGGGGTGGAGAGGAGGAATAGCAATAGCCTTACAGTCATTTGTGGAATTGCATGTGTATTCCATGATGGCACTTTCAGTTGAGAACTAAAGCCAATAGAACAGAGCTTATTTGTAAAACAATTTCAGCAGATGGGTGTTAATGGTCAAGCATAATGAGCAGGCTTCAGTTATTGGGGTGGGGGGTTGATCAGACGGCAGAAACAACCCCATACCCAATGCATGCTTTGGTCTTAAACAAAAACTAAAAAACACCAAACCTCCCCAACACGAACCTGTTGAAACTCCCTCGTGAGTTCTTGCTACTCTTATCTATGTTAACAAATTCACTCAATTAGCTTGTGTCCAAGCTGCAGTCTGCTCTGAGAAGTGAAAGGGATGTTAGCAACAACTCCCACATTACTCCTCAAAGGTTAATGTGCTTTGTTGACTTTTTCTGGTTACATCAGCGGAGGGTTGATTTTTTTCGTATAAGTTTAAGAAGTTCATATTTCCTCACATTGTTCTATTATTTTTCAGTAATAATAAAAATAGCAGTATGCATTGTTCTCATGCGCTGCTTGATATGTTCCCAGATAATAATTGTTGTTTTATTTAAGTTAGTGACACTCGTATGAAGTACAGTGGAAAATAGCTGTTTTCTTTAAACAAAACAGTATCCACCTACCAGACCTCTCTCTCTGCAATGGGAAAACTTTCTTCCATAATCATGAACTGAGCCGTTGGTGTTTTGTCAAGAATATTCAATATTCTGAAAAGCTTAAACAAAAAAATTAAATCCTCAAGTACTGTTGATGGGATTATCCTTTGAAAGCAGCTTCTGCACACAGATTCTCTTTCTCAGCTGGGAACTCCACACAGAGATTGGTTGGGAATCCAGTACAGCTTCCATTCACAATATGGAAGTAGGCTCATCCTTCTCTCTGCATGTCAGTGAAATTGGTCTCTATCCCAAATTACAGTCTTGGGCTGCATGCATATTGGTGCACACAAATGTATCTCTGCTTAGGAGCACTGAGCATCAGCATGACACTGGTTTCTAGGAAAGCAGGTAACAAGTCAGCACAGTTCATAAAGTTCATTTGCCACATCATGTAGTCCATAAATATGGTAAAGGATGCAGGTGGCGCTGTGGTCTAAACCACTGAGCCTCTTGGGCCTGCTGATCAGAAGGTCAGCGGTTTGAATCTCTGCGACGGAGTGAGCTCCCATTGCTCTGTCCCAGCTCCTGCCAACCTAGCAGTTCAAAAGCACACCAGTGCAAGTAGATAAATAGGTATGGCTGCGGTGGGAGGGAAAATGGCGTTTCCGTGCACTCTGGTTTCCGTCAGAATGTGCCAGAAGCGGTTTAGTCATGCTGGCCACACAACCTAGAAAGCTGCCTGTGGACAAATGCTGGGTCCCTCGGCCTGAAAGCAAGATGAGCGCTGCAACCCCATAATCGCCTTTGACTGGACTTAACCATCCAGGGGTCATTTACCTTTACCATAAATATATTACCAATGTTCTGTGACAGATTCTGTAGCATCTTGTACTTAGTAAGGGTAAGGGCATCTAGATCCTGCCTCAAAAGTACTTAAATCTTTACTTGTGTAACTTGTAGGATAAAACCTTTAGCTTAGCAACATGTATACATAATATATACTGTAGAGTTGAATGACTTTTTCTCTTTAAAAGCTCCATTGTTGAACATCCTAGTGGATGCGATAAGAATTCTAGGTTACTGCATATCATCAGAATAAACAGTGAACAACTTTATCAGAATGTTGCCCTTCTAGAGATAAAGCATGTTATTGTTATTACTTCTGGGACCTTTCACTTATTGTATTGTTCTGCATACACAAACCTCATTTTTGAAATGAGGTTCCTAGTCTTAGACTTTATTATGCCAAAAGTGTTGTGCCCTGATAAATTGTTATGGTTGTTCAATTGTTACTCAATTTTGAATGGCAAAAGGGCAATGTGAAGTGACTGTGGCTGCAATCCTAATCTCAGTGGGGCTTGCTTCTAAGCAAACATGTTTAGAGTCATGGTGATTGTCTTGATTTTCAAAATAATGTGTAGCACTGAAATTGCCATTTGAAATCAGTACATTATTCCTGCAGGACCAACTAAAACTGGTTGCCCTTCTCAAAAGCATCTCTGTCCTCAAGGTTTCATAAATGTACATGTGGCAAAGTGCACTATTTTGTTGCAGCTTGCCTAAGTGCTTTTTCTGCTGGGGTTGCTATTTTACTTAGGATGCTACTTGATTGGCACAGTGCAGTTATAAACTTATGGGCTGGATCAACCCATAAGTTAGCTGTGCTTTATTTCTGTTAAACTTGCTGAGGTTTAACTATGGCTAACTTTTCAGACTGATTTCAGTGGAACTCAAGTTCAGCTAACAGGCTGTGTTCCTAAACACAATTACCCTGAGAGTAAGTCTCATTGAACTAACTAAAGGTTACTCATGAATAGACTTCACTGCTAGTCTGGATCAAACCCACTGACTACTTTAAAAAACAAGACAACTTTCCCCAACGTCCATGGGATGTTCACTGTCCATGCCAACTCTAGAGTATTCACATTGCTAATGAAAGATTGAGAAATAATTTCTTTCTTGATAATAAATGCACAAAGGGGAAATGGAATCCTTAAAGTGATGGGGAGTACATTCACTTTTTAATTCCCTGCAAGGATAAGCTAACTATTGGCAAAACGTTCTGTTCAGGGCAATATTGCTGATTTTGAAGAGAGCAAAGAGATCTTTTTCATGTTCCATTGGACAAATGTAAATAAGTTTTCTTGTTCTACAATTCTGTGATTCTATGATTTACCAGAACCTTAATTTTTTGGATTGGAATGTGTGTATGCTGCTGTCAGTGGATCTGTGGGCTAGTCAATTGTTTAAGGGCAGGTAAACAGATATGAGACTCAAACAGATATTTCCCACACTCCCAACAGCTAGATGAAGAAAAACTGTGACTTTGCTGAGCAACTTCTGAGAAGCAGTTACTAATAATTCCTCTCTGTGTGAGATGCTAAACTTGGTTGCTAAACTTAGTTTTCCCGATTATATTTGAGGATCATGATAAGATGCAGGCATGATTCTCCCGAGCCATACATGAGACTAGGTCAAAACTGTCACCTTGACTTGGGCCTGGAATCAATAGGAAGCTCATGCAGATGATGCAGCATGGATGTAATATACTGCTAGTGACTTCCCACCATGTAGATGTGGGCTGTATGCATGTTGTATTCACTGTACAGTTGTACCTTGGATCTTAGACATCTTGGCTCCTGAAAAAATCGGCTCCTGAACGATCAAACCCCGGAAGTAAGTCTTCTGGTTTTCAAATGTTCTTTCGGAAGCCGAATGTCCGACGGGGCTCCTGATTGGCTTCATGAGCTTCCTGCAGCCCATCGTAAGCCGCGCTTTGGATTCTGTTCGACTTCCAAGGTACGACTGTACATCCTAAGGGATTGTCAATGGCATTATAGTAATGAACACTTTGATTACAAAGTTGTTTGGTTACATGCAAGAAGCAGAGTGGCTACTCTGTTTCAATCTTCTTGAAAGAGATTGTTATGGCCATGTCACCAAGTAAAAGAAGAAGAAAAAGAGTTTGGATTTGATATCCCGCTTTATCACTACCCTAAGGAGTCTCAAAGCGGCTAACAATCTCCTTTCCCTTCCTCCCCCACAACAAACACTCTGTGAGGTGAGTGAGGCTGAAAGACTTCAGAGAAGTGTGACTGGCCCAAGGTCACCCAGCAGCTGCATGTGGAGGAGCGGAGACGCGAACCCGGTTCACCAGATTACGAGTCCACCACTCTTAACCACTACACCACACTAGAGCCATTGCAACTTAAACTTCTAGGAACTGGAAATCTGTAAGGCCTGGTTGGTTCATAGCCGCTCTGGGATAAAGATTCCCCATGTTTATTTCACTTATACCCGGCTGTTTTCTTCAGGGCACTTTTGAGCTTGGATATGTAACTTGAAAGCTTCTCCATGGAATTCAAGCACCCAGAGGTATTTTTGAAAACCTCTGTGTGTGGCAAGGTGGGCCCTGGTGTTAGATTAATTCATGGAAGGTAAATGTGTCATTAGCTATTGCACATAACAACTAAATATGCATATTGTGCCATGCCCAGTGGTAAAATATCGCTGACTACTAGATACTGGGGCCAAATTATAAGGAACGGCTAATGGCTGTTCCCAGAACACCATGCTTGTGAACTTCCCCAGGGCATCTGCTTGAGAGCTCTAGGAGTCAGAAGTGGATTAGATTAGATAGACATTTAATCCAATGCAGAAAGTTAGCACTTATGTCTTTATGGGCACAGGCAGTCTAGATTTACTGTGTCTGTCACCACCCAGAAGAATTCTATTGTGATGGCATTTTGGAGTTTCCAAAGCATTCTTCACAACTGCCATTGCTGCAGCATAGCCTTTTAACAACGACCAGTGCCACAACTGGGTCAGCTTTGGTACAAGATCAATGCTAACTCCATCTGTGCTGTTTTTCTCCTTTGTTTTCTTTCTCACTCTTTCTCCCCTTTGTCCACTTTTGAGCCCTTGCTAAGTTTTGAAAAGAATTGGTGGTTCTTTTGAACAATGCTGGAAAACACCATCTCAAATTATTTTGCCAAACAAGATGAACTATTGATTTGTCTTGTTCTCTCTGGCTGCTGTGAAGGCATTTTGCCAATTCTTAATGTTATGACATCATCTAGAAAGGCTATTTGTTTGATCTGGTTCTGAAACGCAGTGGGATGCATTATGAATCATAAAAAACTGACTGCAGTGTGAATCAGAGATGGATAGAAGCTAAAGAGAGATTTGAACATACCTATTATAGCTCTGTTGTAATTTTAATCTGAACTGCAGGTAACAACAAATCCACTTCAGTTGACCTCTGGAAACTTAGAAGTCTTTCAAATTTATTTGAAAAATCACTAACTGAAGATGCTACAGAAATACAAAGCATGTCACAGATACAGGTGTAGTTGTGAAGATTCTAATAATCAGTGTAAGATTTAAGAAGCCTAAATTGTAAGGGCTGGTGACTGATTTAACCCATGTCTAGGTTACTGATTAAGATACTGTGCTATGAATTGGGAACCCCCCCCCCTTTAGCCGTGCTATTGTCCTAAAGCAGGTTTTCCCAAACTTGGGTCTCCAGCTGTTTTTGGACTACAGCTCCCATCATCCCTAGCTAGCAGGATCAGTGGTCAGGAATGATGGGAATTGTAGTTGAAAAACAGCTGGAGACTCATATTTGGGAAACCCCACCCAAAAGTCATGGATTGGCTTCTGACAAGCTACTCCCTTGGCCTCAACCCCAGCCCAAATGCATAGGATAGCTGCCTTACCAAGTCAGACCACAGGTCCATCTAGGTTAGCATTCAACACTGACTGGTGGTGGCTCTCCAGAGTTTAAGGCAATAATATTTCCCAGCCCTGCCCAGAATTCCTAGGGACTGGACGTGGGATTTCTGCCTGCAAAGCATGTACTATACCACTGATATAAGTCTTTCTTCCTACTCCCCTGTCTTCTGGACTCTCGTAAGGATTGCAACAGTATAGAGTGCAAGAAGAGCTTTGATCTGAACACTCTCGGTTTCAAACAGGAGTCTTTCCCAGCCCTACCTGAAGATGGTAGAGATTGAATCATGGAGCTTCAGCATGCAAAGCATGTTTCCCGTGTTCCCTGTCCTATGGTTTACCATGGCATGTGAATGCAGCCAATATTGTAGATATATTCTAGAACAGTTGAGAGCTGTTCTTGTTCTTAATCGCTGGCATTTGAAATTGTTTTCTTCTGGACAAGGAAAATGGGACTTGAAGCAGATCTGCAAGGAAATCCAGTTTTGCTGAAACTCCAGATAATATGCAATACTGGAGGTTGTGGCTGCAATCCTACGCAATAGCCCTGAATACATAAACAGCCACACCGTATACATCATGTAAATGTAGAAGGCAAAGCTCCACACATTTTGCAGAGCTCCACCACCTGCCATTGCCAGGCATGAAAAATACTTAGATGAGCGGGAGACTTTGAATTATAGTTTGTAGTTCTTCTGTCAAGAAGGGTGTATCACCTGCCGTTCTGGCCCCCAAGCAAACTAAACAGATTTGTTTGGGGTTCCCCTATAGCCGTAATGGTGATAATGTCTGGACAGCTGTGACTGCTTATTCACAGAAGGAAGTGTGGAATAGAGGACATGCAGTGGGGAGATCTATGGACATGGACTCTTAGGTCTAGTTCACATGTTCAGGAGTGATCTGACTGGCATGTGTGAATCAACCACTGATGTGTGTATCTATAGCAGTTACATACGTGTTTCAAAATGGAGTCCGTTCATACTTTCATTGGCATCCCATACCCAAGTGATGTCCTTGACTATATGAACCTGCCCTTAGAAGTGTTTCGATGTATTGTTTTAATTTCTCTTTCAAATTGTACCCCACCCTTCAATGTGTAATGATTCCAGTGTATGTAACATACACCGCAGATCAGGATCATAAAACAACTACAATGGAAAATTTTCTGAAATGCTAAATAAAATTCCCCATGCAGTTCTAATCCTACAGCAGGCAAGTCCCTATTAGTGTCTGGCCTCATTACATTAATGTGCTCCAAATGAGATAGGCTGGTTCTTAATGCATCAGAGGCCAGCCATTATCACAGAGGGGAGGGCATTCCATGAAACTGGTGCCACCACTGAGAAGGCACTATTCCACATCACAGTGAATTGCAGCCAGTAATGGGATGCCAAGAAGGGGTTCTCCCACAGATCTTGAAGCAGAGCTTTTAAGAGGTTTAAAGCATGAAAGCAGGAGTTGGGTCAACAGCTTTGCACCTTTTTTTAAAAAAAGGTTTGTGTGTGTATCGCTCCTCTATTTGAAATGATTAATTAATTCATATTATTGAAATTATCTCTGTAATGTAGAAGGGTGAGGAAGAGTACCGGCCTGGAGAGGGCTTGCTTATTATTGTGATAGTGTACACTTGCACAGTTTCTGTTCTCTGCTCTAGCATAAGAAACTCTGTGTAGAGCTTGATATTTGTTCCTCTGAAAGAACTGTGCCATTAGTCTATTAAAAGCGTGGTGATTGCTTTGTTGACTTGCCTGATGAGGAACCTACAATAAATATACATCTCTTGGCTGGAATTGCCCCAAATGACAGTTTAGTTCAGGTCTTGCACAATGTATTACAGAGAATAAGTTGCCAAGCAGGCAGCAGGATATGGGAGAAAGGCATTTTGGCTGCAGCCACAGATAATTAATTCTCTTGTCTAAAATTCTGGAATGATTTCTTTACCCTGCACATATTGTCAGCTAGAGATCTGGATAGACTTTTAGTCTTGAGTTTCTGATTGAATTGTGAAGCTTTTGCTAGAGTCTTGTGCAGAAAGTGTGCTTTGTAAAATGAGCCTAAATGCACTTTTTTTTGGGGGGGGTGATCACACCGAGAGAATAGTTAATGGTCTATACAACCGGGGAGGGGGGATCTGTGGCTTTCCAGATGTTGTTGGACTGCAATACCCAACAGCCACAGCTAACATGGCCAGTTTTAAGGGATTATGTGTTTCAACAACATCTGGAGGAATATAGATTACTCACTCCTCTTACATCACTTCCTTTTCACTAAGCTGGTATATAGAATGGGAAGTGGTGAATAGAGTAAATGGAGATGCTGAGATAAAAAAAGATAGTTGTAATCCAACAAAGTAATAGTTGTGCTAGAGAAGATTGGATAGCAATGCTAGATTGTGCATATTTCTGCTCCTATAATTAATCCCTCATTTGTTTACTTATTTATTTATGGCAACTCTGTGCCATCACAGAACCAGAGTTCTTTGGGTGGCTTACAATGCTTTATTGTTCCACAAAATCCTTGTGTTTGAAGGGACCCACTGGAAAGTTAGCCGTGGAGGCTGCATGAGCTATGTCTCAAGATGAAAGGCAATATGGGCTCGAATGCAGTACTAACAGGGAATAATTATTATTTGGGTTATATTTTTACCCTGTTGTTTGCACATGGGAGCTAGGGCCTGCTCCAAAGTGCTGAACTTGAAATGGAAGGAAACAGCTCTAGTTCTTGGGCACCTCTCATTATCCACTTCCCCACTGTTGACGGGTGCAAGCCTGAGTGAAATAGGAAGTGGGTAACAGAAGAGAGACCTGGTACCATGCTGGCTTGGAGATACCATTGCTGGCATTTCACAAAGGCTGCTGGTCCCCATGAGCTAAACTTGTCAGTACCTTTGGACTAACTGGCATTGACGAAGTATTTGTCTAGTTTATATGACGTGCTGGCTTGCCTTGCACAAGAATGCTACTATCATGGTAAAAAACTTAGCATGTGGAAGTACCAGAATATATGAGTCCATAGCTGGTCCACTGAGGTGTAAAGGGGTTTCCCTTGAAAAGTAATATGTGCACCACTCAGCTTGAAAAATGTGTTGTGTTTATCTCTCTCTCTCCCCCCCCCCCTCTCTCTTATCTATCTATCTATAGTTCTACTGCAGATTTCTAATAAGTTTAACACTCAGTGCTTACTGAGTGTTGTTTTAGAGGCAGAAACTGAAAGCCCAATAACTTTTTACAGGAAAATAAATATTACCCATACATTAAATCCAAATCTGTGATGCCAGGTAAACTGGCCTTAGTTCTTGAAATTAGATTTCCATTTTAGTTATTGCACTACAGCTTTAATTTTCATTTGTGTCTGTTATAGTTCCGTGAATAATCCCAAATATTTAACTTATTTCAGTGGGAAGGCTGCCTCAGGCCATGGCTTTTTAATGGCAGATGAATGAATGCAAGACTTGAAGCCAAAAGAATACCAAACAGATTGGGGGGGGCCCCTCAGTCCAACCTGTCTTTTTCTTGAAGTGCATGCTTCCGTCAAAAATAATTGTACTATGAAGTAATAACCACAATTAAAAGTAGCAGTTAGGGGATAAGGCTGTGGCATGCCACTTCAATAAACAAGGGGCTCTGGTTTCTTTTATTAAACCTGTACGCTCTTTGACTTGTGCCCTGATATACATCACCTACCACAGCAATGGCGCCTTTAATTAGTTCAGACTTAGCATCTGTAGGTTGCTTACCAGTTCAGAGATAGGATGAGCTCAAAGACAGAATGACTTCTTGCATTGTTCAAACCATATTGACAAGTATTGCCCTGTTGGACTGAAGTCACTTTCAAGTTTGTTGTTTGAGATTGCAACCTTCCAGGTGTCTGGGTATAGTGGATAGAGAAACAAAATATATTCAAGCAGAGCTTCATACTCTCTGTGCCCAAATGCTGCAACCATCAAGTCTATATATGTGGAAGTAAATACTCATGAACCCACAAGGGGCTTCATTAGAAATTAATGCAGGTAGGACCAGGTATCCTACTGGAAACCACTGAACAGTGTTTTTTGTGTGAAAGCTGAAACTTTGAAAATAAATTTCAGTGTCTTCATTACAGCAATCAGTATATCAGTTCTTTATTTTCATGAGGATACTTGTTTCAAATTTATTGCTAATGTTCCTTTGCCTGTACTTGAGTTACAGAAAGTTACATCGTAGCTTGTTCACTCCTCATACAGTTCCTTTTGATTTCTTTCCTCAATAGTTGGCACACATTTTCGTCTTGCTTTGGAGAAAGCAGCTAACTGTTCTAGGAAATGTCTGCCACTGTGATGGGGTGCACACTTTTTGCAACATTTTCCTCTCCAGGAAGGCCCCGAGATGCATGGCTCCAACTTGCTTTCCCTTCAATGCTGCAGACCGAGCTGCTCTTTCCATTCAGAGTTTCTTCCGATCCAGCCTCAGTCAGCACCACGTGGACTTTGCGCACATGTCTGACTGTTTACAAACACCCTCCCAGAATTCCCAAGAGCTGTTGCGTAACAGTCTGGCGGGTGCAACAGTTCGCGAGTCGGCAGCGTTCACCCGCAATGGTCTACTTTCCCCTCCATTTTTACTATCGCCCACAGCCATCATAACCTTGTTATAGGCTGGTTGGAGTATTCCACAATACTCAGGGTTCTTTTCCCTCCCTGCTTTTCCCCCCTTAATAATCTCCTTTTGTTTTGGCGACATTCAGCTCTGTAGCTTACAGCAAGGTCATCTGCGGTGAGCCAAAAATAGAAGCTTCACCGCTTGACAAAGAACTGGAACCGGCCAGTGCAAACCTTGTGTGCCATGGGGAGTAGACGTAGTTTCTGCTTTCCGAAAGGACTAATAGTCTGCAGACAACTGCAAACATATGAAAGTAATGCTGGGTGCGTCCTTGCTATTTGGATCTATCAGGGGAAATGCTAAACACTCCAATCAGCAGTTTTTAACCCAGGCTGGAGTCATGCGCACACACACAGTAAGGCTGCATAAATCGCACAGAAGAGCATGCTGTAGCAGATTAGCTGTCCAGAATTCTAGTCTAAACATTTTAACTCTTCCAACCAAAAAAGCAGGCAAACTTTTTGCTACTGCAGTGATTTTCTTGTTACGGTTGAAGGTAAGCATGGGGTTTTAAAGTGCTTTACAGGTGTGAGGGGTGGTAAGGTGGGATGCGGGTGGTGTTGTGGTCTAAACCACTGAGCCTAGGGCTTGCCAATCAGAAGGTCGGCGGTTTGAATCCCCGCGATGGGGTGAGCTTCCGTTGCTTGGTCCCTGCTCCTGCCAACCTAGCAGTTCGAAAGCACACCAGTGCAAGTAGATAAATAGGTACCGCTGCGGTGGGAAGGTAAATGGTGTTTCTGTGCGCTGCTCTGGTTTCACCAGAAGCGGCTTAGTCATGCTGGCCACATGACCCGGAAAAACTGTCTACGGACAAACATCGGCTCCCTCGGCCAGTAAAGCGAGATGAGCGCTGCAACCCCAGAGTCGTTCGTGACTGGACTTAACTGTCAGGGGTCCTTTACCTTTTTTTTTTAAGGTGAGCTGGCTGCTACACATTCATAGTTGTTTGAGCAGGGTATGCTGTCACAGATTCAAACAGTGTGTCACATATGGCGGCACCAACTTTCAAACTCCCATTTCATGCACTCGTCTCAGAACATATTCATTTTAGCCAGCCATTAGCAAATGCTTTTCACAGGTGCAAAGACTATCATGCAGCTGTCCTAAGCATGCTTACTCAGAAGAGAGATGTGGTGGCTGCAGTTCTCTTTAATTTCTTGGAGGTCTGTGGGAATGTTCTCATGAAGCAATACCTAGTACTGTTTGGGAAGGTGGTTCTCCTTTTCTCCGATAACTGCTTGGATCTCATGCGTGATCCATATTTCTCAAGGATGGAAGCAACTGTGAATGCTGGAGACATAGGCTCACTCATAGGACCCAAGCAGTTCTTGGATAAATGTTTGCAGTAGAAAGAAATTCTGTTACCAAAGGTGGTTTGTTGTTGTTGGGTTGTTGTGATTGTTTGCCATCCTCCTCTTGACACTCTCTGCTTTCACTTTCCTAGAATCTCCCAAGAATTTGTGGGCAAATGAGAGTTATAATTTAGAAGTGAGTGGGATTTTTAAAAATCTGTTTCCTTCCACTGGTTTTGATGCATCTGTGTGTGGGGGGGTTGTTTTTGTCTGGTTGGTTGGTTGTAATTCACTTTGGATTGCCTTGGACAAGATAAAACAACTAACAAATTAATTAAGTAATTGGAACACCCTTATTCAATGGGTCTTGCTTCCAGGTAAGTGTACGCTGAGGTTGTGTCACATTATGGTTAAACCCCACACTGCTTATATCTCTTCTATTGAAAATTTATTTCTTGATTTATGAGAGTTCTAGAACTCTTTTCTCTTTCCAAATGACATGTTACCTTACTGCAAAAGAAAAAAAAAATATTGTTGTCTTTTCTAAGGTTCTCCCTTTGTTTTAGTTCTCCCTTCTTATTCCTGGCTTAAACGGTCTGAAGAAATGCAAACTCAGCAGGGCTTTAACTCCATCCTTTTCTCTCCTCTTGCAGTAAAGGTCAAAAGCAAATGGGATTCGCAGCTGCATTTAAAATAGCTTGGCAGAGGCAAATCTATTCACCCCCCCCACACACCTTTTTCCATTTGCCTGGATACATTAGTAGAACATTTAATGTACATGATTATGAATAAAATTTTCAGTGAACCCCTTCAGCTGTTTTTCAAAAGGAAAGCTTCTCTAAAAAAGAGGGGAAGTGATAGAGCTTTGTTTGTGTGTTTTCCATACAACTGTAACAAGTGGAAATAGTTAAATGTCTCCTCCTTTAAACACCGAAAGCTTGGTTCTGTGCTGCTTCATTTATACTGTTAAATGTCTGTGTATCCTTGTGGTGCTCATATCATTTCTTTGCCTATTGTATATATCAAATCAACCAATGCTGGAAGTAGAAAGCACAGCTCTTGGTCCCTGAATTGAAGAGACCTTGCCTTGAAGTTCTCTTTGGGAGAAAAATGCCTGGCAGCATGAATTGATTGACATTTGTGGGCCATTTGTGGGCACCGGTGATGAAACTTGCTAGGGCAAAATAGACTGGAACACGCTGGTCTTTGCCTTGCAGCGCAGCTCGGATGTACAAACATTGTAGTGTCAGGGTTTACCTCGAAAGCAGGCGTTCCAGGTCATTCTGATGTCTCGCAACGTGGCTTCGCGCACATGGCTGTAGTGTTTACAAACACGATCCCAGAATTCCTGAGGGCAGTTATGTAACAGCTAGCAAGTGCTGTATCAGGCTCACTAAAATGACCTGGATCACGGATGTTGGCGTAGACTCAACAGAGCAGTTGGGCGGGAGGTGGGGAAACACACATGCTAGGAAAATGCACGTTGGGTATGTGAGCACGTAACTTTACTCATGCAGCCGCTAACTAGCCTGAATAAGCGTTTCAGGCAACTCAGAATAAATGTGATGGTGCTTTCTTCATCATCGTAAGCTTCCGTTTCTTTGAGTGTGTAGTGACTTGGAACATTTTATAAAAGTACAAAAGGAGCTCGTGTTGTGACATATTCTTCTGAAAGGACTTGTCTCAGATTCTTTATTAGAATCCGTTTGCCACTTTTACAATTCCATGTTGGAAAGAACGGGTATTGGTGGAAAATAAAAAAAGACATTCATTCCACAGTTCCACAAATGGATATCATATGCAGAAGACTTTGTATGCATGGAGCCGTGTAATTATCTTTGTGCAATATCAGTTGTGGATATCAGGGTTTTGCACACTTCCATTTTTAATTATGAAGACTGTGGGATCTGCTCAGGCTAATCAACCGCTCAGTATGCCATACATTAAGTTTGTAAATGTGCCATGAATATCTTAGAAAAGGAAGTGGTGTGCGTAGGGGGAGGGGGACAAATCCTACTACCCCACTTAAAGGGGTGAGTAAAAAAAAAAAAGGACACAGACTTAGCCAGTTACTCTTCCAATTAAGGATCAAAAGCCTGGGTAAATAGAAGTGGTTTTGCTGGGCCTAAAAACAAACAGTGGGGGCATCCCTGCTGCTGTGTGTAAGATAATGATGAAACTGTTGGCCAAAATGGGTCCTTAATTAGACAAACAGTACTTATTGAGCTTTCTCAGTGCATGCAGGATGACAATGAAGAGTGTGTGCTGAGCTATTCATGAGACCACATTTTGTTTGGATTCCCACCCTGAAGTGAGTGCAGAATTTTACTTTGCAGCTCTGTTAAGAATGTGATGCATATAGTATCCTTAAATTGATGATGCCCATGATCAAACTTCTCATGTCCCTTGATGAATGAACGGATTTTCTTGCTTGGTTATCTGCTACATTTGTACCCCACTTTTTTCTCTAAGGAGCTCAACGTGGCCTACATAATTCTCCCCCTCCTCATTTCATCAATGATGATCACCCACTGAGCACAAGGGAGGCTTCCCATTGGGTGATTACATGAATCACCAGAAGGTTGCATGTCCAATGCAAGACATTCCCAGAAACACTCTTGAGAGTGGGCAATTGTTAATTATACCACATCGTGACAGTCTTTACTCTTAACAAGCCATAAAAGTAACACTTTGGGATGTAAGCGAAGCATGATTTTTTAAAAATTTGGGAACAACTGTGGCTCTGTTGTCAGAAATTGCTTCTCATTACCTATCTTTTCTTTTTTCCAGACTTGTTTTGTTCAGATTCTCTAGATTCTCTAGATTTATACAGGCTTTGGAACTACCAGTCAAATCTGTGCTGCATCTTTTTAGTTCACCTCCTGAAACTGAGTTGGCTGCTAATGTGTTTCAGATCTCGTTTCATAGATATCAGATAACAAGTGGCAGTTTAATTATTGCCACCCCATGGCATTAAGCTAATTTTAAATGCTGTACTCTGCTCACTACACTCTTTTTAAAAATACGCTCTGACTAAAACCACAGCCAAATCCTTATAAAAAAAATCGCTGTTTTGAAGTTTTCTTAAGAAAGAGACTGGAGGAATAAAACAAGCAACAAGCCATTGCACAGAATTGAAATTCCATGCCCACAGTTCCCTGCCCACTTAACTGAGAGCAAGCCCCATTGAACTGAATGAGTCTTACTTCTGAGGAGACACATACAGCTTTACATTTTGCATTAACTGGCATACAGAATTCAGTTAAGAATGGCATCTTTCTCAAAGTGTTTTCCACGTACAGTGGTACCTCGGGTTAGGAACTTAATTCGTTCTGGAGGTCCGTTCTTAACCTGAAATTGTTCTTAACCTGAGCTGCCGCTGCACGATTTCTGTTCTCATCCTGAAGCAAAGTTCTTAACCCGAGGTACTACTTCCAGGTCTATAACCTGAAGCGTCTGTAATCTGAAGTGTCTGTAACCTAAGGTACCACTGTAATCCAGTCAAGTGTGTGAAGACACTCCTGAAGTACTTCTCCCAGGGTATGAATATCTCTCTCTCTTTTTTAAAAAAACAAAAAAAACAAAAACCCAAACCTTTAGTTTTAACTTTGACTCAAATAACCTGAAAACAACATCTTCATGTAATTGACAGATTTCAGTTCAAGACATATGAATGGACCCAATTACCATTCTATCCCCCACCCCATCCCTGTCTTATGTTAGGTACTACAGTTCGGACTGCCATGGTCAGACAACATGATTGCCTGAAGGGGCACCATATTCTTTTCTTTTCTTTTTCTTTATTAAAATTATTTATTTATTAAATTTATATACTGCTTACTTGAGGGAGAAAAACTCCAAGCACTTTACAAAAGCCATATAAAAACAAACATTAAAAGCAAGTTACATTAAAAAAACACACACCAAAGAACCCGTAATTTTAAAACAATTTAGCAGTGGGACAGTGGGTCTGGCCGTTAACCAGAAGGTATGTGTTTCGTTTTTTTTTTTTTAAGATATTTATTAAAGTTTAAGTATTACAAAGAAAAGGAAAAAGGAAAAAAGAGAAATACAAGCAATAAACAATTACAAAACCTCAAAAACAAAAGGAAATACAATAATACAAAACATCAACAATACATTAAAAAAGAAAAAAAAGAAAAACAGAAACATTTAAAAAACCCAAACCTTTAAAAAATAGAAGGAAAAAAAAAAAGAACAAACAAAAAAAGACCCCGTATTTTCATATCCTTACCTTTCATTTGCTTATTTCCTCGACTTCCTCACACCTCCTTTTTTGTATTCTAGTTCAATTAATTGTTCCAGCAAATCCTTTCCCTCTTTCTCAAATTTAGTTCCATGATTTATCTTAACGCAATTTAACCTAAAGTTTAACCTTTACCCAATATCAATCTATTCATACTTAATTCTTTATAACATTTCTACTAGAGCCATATAACTTCTTTCCAGCATCCTTCTAACATTCATTAATTTTACAATATTTCTGTAAATAGACTTTAAATTTTTTCCAATCTTCTTCCACCGACTCTTCTCCCTGGTCTCGGATTCTGCCAGTCATTTCCGCCAGTTCCATGTAATCTGTGAATCTACTAAGACAGCAGTCCCCAATTGTGGGTCTGTGGACCCCGGGGGGGTTGTGTAACCCACCCAGGGGGTCCGTGACACATACCCATCAACTGTCTGTCACATCCCATTTTTCAGAGAACATGCTCTCACGTGAGAGCACAGTGCCCAGAAATGTGTGAGGTTGTGGCCAGACGCGCATCTCATGGGAGATCATGGTGCCCAAAAATATGTGTTTAGGGACCACTGTGCTCTCACATGGCTCTCATGGCTCTGGAAGACACACAACCCAGTTTTGTGCTGGGACACGCAGCATTCACATAACCAAAACTGCCACCAAGATATCAACATTTTCGAAAGTAGAGGGTCCATGGCTTGCCTTTGAAAAAACAGGAAGTCTACAATAGTTTGCCAATTGGGAAACACTGTGGTTAACAAGATATAGTTCCTGACAGTTCTTATCGCAAAAGTACTACAAAAGAAATGCATGCTGTTTTGAGATGAGACGGTAAACATATTTCTGTGAGTAAATATATGTCTGTGTGTTGTGACTTGAGATACAGTCTGCAGGTTGACTGGATGGCTGTTTCTGCATAGGGAAGGAAGAGTAGCATGTTCAGGGAGAAGGCTAGGTGTGGCAACTTGTTTTCTCTGTGCGGTGTTTTAGAACAGAGAACCAAGGAAGCATGGGAGTCCTTGCTTGAAGTGTTACAGACCACTTGTTATTATTTCACCAGTATCATCATTATTGCAAAGCCTGATTAACAACATGAGGCGGCTATAATAATAATAATAAGTATAAATGAATGCTCATGAGGACTTTGCCCCTTGCACTTAGCTGCCAGAGTGCTTTGGAGACTGTTGGGGATTCTGCAGAGCTTAATTTTTAGAGAATAGGACTGGTAGATGTGCAGGACATTGGGAAAGAGGTTTCTGCCGGAAGGCAAGCACTATGTGTCAGTTTAGATTAATATCTCAGAATAAATACAGACGCTGTCATGGGTTTGTCATCTAAACAGTAGAAGAAAGAGAAATCCTGAATAGCTGGTTTAGCAGAAGCCGCACCTAAGAGCTGAATTATTCTTCCTCCTTTGCTTTTGAAGAAGTGGATCTTAGGTATTTGAGGGCAGAACTGAGAGACTACTTTGTAATTTTGTATCTGTAGAAGAATGTTGCTTGAAAGTGCATCAAGGCATGGCAGGACACAGCAGTGGCCCATAGGCCTCTGAGTTGCTTGACTGATGCAAGCAAAAGTTCCTGTGCTTCAAAAAGAGATTGAGTTCAAGAGGAAGAGAGGATTCCTTTTTGGAATACAGCAGTCTTGAGTTGTAAACCTCTTATTTCTGAAGTTCTTCACTGCTGAATGACTCCGGAGTAGTCCTCAAGAAGTGGTGCATCTGACTATCTGAAAAGAATGTATTGCCTTAGATAACCTTACTTTAAAAGAAAAAAGGGGGAGAACAGCTATGGAGCAGAAAAGAAGGAAAACTGAAAAAGGAACCCTTTTGCTGGACTTTGCTAAACACTGTGTGTAGGGCAGGACCTGTTGCATATGCCATTGCTTCTTGAGGGCTAGGGTAGAAATCGCTCACTGCTTCTATGGGTATTTTAAAAAAACAAAACAAACTTGGTAGTACTCCTCCAATAACCAAACAGTATGAAATGTCAGTGAACAAAATGACTACATTTAAATAGAGAAGACAATACCTCAAGGACCACCTGGTCCCATATGAACCTACCCAGACCCTGAGATCATCTTCTGAGGCCCTTCTTCATGTACCTCCTCCTGAAGAGGTCAGGAGGGTGGCAACACGAGAACGGTTCTTCTCTGCGGTGGGTCCCCATCTGTGGAATACTCTCCCCAGGGAAGTTCACTTGGCAACTTCATTATACACCTTTAGGCGCCGGGCAGAAACGTTCCTTTTTAACCAGGCCTTTGGTTGATCTGATTGACATCCTATGCCCCTTTAAAATATAGCTCTTTTTCGGGGTGTGTGTGTGTGTGTGTGTGTGTGTGTGTGTGTGTGTGTTACTGGGTTGTTTTTATTTTGATTATATATATTGTGATTTTTATGTTGACCTTTTCTGTGAACCGTCCTGAGACCTCCGAGTATAGGGTGGTATATAAATTCAATAAATAATAATAAAATCTAAACTTGAAGTCACCATTAAGTAAAGCAGGTTGCTATTTGAATTCGAATTGCTGCTGATAAAGTATTTAAAGGTTCCAGACCTCATACTTTATTTGGAAGGAAGACTTGACATTGTGTTGTAATTCTACCCTTCACAGATGATCTCCTAGTAAATTTATTGTGCACAATATGAGACCTTTAACAGTGCAGGAAAGGGACACCTATCTTTGTTCCCCATTGTCTCAAACACTTCTTTTGCAATGCTCATGAGATCTGGTACTTAAAAAGTGATAAAGAATCAATGATTATTAAAATGAAATGTGTTTAAATTTGTGTTAAAAAAAAACCTTGGAAAGTCCCTACTTATGTAGTTTTTGTTTGCTTGCTCTGTGAATATGCAAAAATAATAGTCACACAGAGAGAGACACACACTGTTTTTGCAGTAGGTATATTTATGGATTTGTTACACATTTACACATTTATGTTTCTAAAGAGTCAGAACAAACTCCAGGATAACCCATCAGACTTTAAAATAAAATAAAATCAGGAGAAGTTCTTCTTTGCAGCCCTTTGTTCCCCGTTTTAATATTTCATGAACATGTGATATTGTTTTAAAGCCATGATGGTCTTATGAAGTTTAATATTTAAAGCAGATGGCTGCTTTAATAAGATGGTTACTATGGAAACTGTGCTGTGAATGCTGTGGTTTGTGTAATGTGTGGTCTCCTTACTAAACAGCTGAAAGGCTCTTGAAGCAGATGCTCAGAGAGGTGGTATAAGAGAGAATAAAAAGATAACATGCCCACCTGAATGGAAGCTTTTATTTTAAGTGCGTTCTGCTTGAGCTGGACAGTTGATTTTTCTGTGGTTTGCTAAGGATTTCCTTGAAGCTACATGGAGTATGCGTGGAGGTAAGATTGATATTCTAAAGAAAGCTCTGTTCTGCTGCTGATGCATTACTGTATAATAGCTGGACAAATTCTTCACATGCATACACATTCCTAAATCCGAGGGATGTGGAAAAGAGCAGTATATCCATTCTTCCTGTTGTTGTCGTGCCCTACAAACACAGCAAAGGGGCTGGCTGGAAGAACATATGTTTTGCATGCAGAAGATCTCCGGTTTAATCCTTGGCTTCTCTCGCTGCTCAAATGCCAAGACTAGGAAAGACCTCTCCAGGAAACCTTAGGACTGCAAGTCAAACAATTCAGTGCTGGTGTATATATACTCTCTGGGTTCTAGGGATTATGTTAGAAGATGTGGGGGCACTTCCGTAGCAAGCAGTACTGCCTATTAACGGGCCACAAATAATGTTGGCAATCCTTACAGTAAATATGAGTGTTCAGGTTTAGTTTATGTGCACCCATAACTTCCCATGTTTAAGTCTGACAAGCAGCACGTCCAGTAACTGTATTCCATTTAATCTTGTACACAGTAGTCCTGTTTGGGTGTTCAGTTCATATTTTACATGAAGACAACCGCATGAAGCAGCATGCTGACAATTCCCGTCTCCTCCAGTTTGTGTTTTTCTCCTTTGACTCAGCTACATTAGTCAAAATACAGCATTATAAATGTGTTATAACACTGTGGCACCAAATGGCGCTGTAGAGATGAAATCGCAACTCAATGATATTTTCAATTGTGAGCTTTACAATGGTTTTTTGCAGAGCATATTCAGAGCATTTTTATTTTTTTAGTCCTTGACAGCCTTCCATGAGTTGCAGGGCAGCTTTCTGAAGCAAGAAGATTTCTGTACTTTTGGAGGTTCCCCAAGTGATTTAGGTGGAATCTGCATATATATGAAAAATGCTTGTGAAAATACATTTTTTAAAAATGTGTGTGTGTGTGTGTGTGTGTGTGTCATTCGTTCACCATCGCCATCTAGTGCCACATTTGTATAATGCACTTAAAATGCAGTTTAAACGTTATATTTGCAGTCTATAGCTAAGTCCTTAGAACCTGGAGGCCAGCATGTCCCCACTGTCCTTCATGTTTTAGTCTTCACCCAAGTGAACTGAACACCCAGACAGGGCTAACATGAAGTGGGGGGCATTTGACATCTTAAACTTTATTTGGAAGACTATGGAACACTGACTTCTGCATAGAAACTTACTATAGCACGGGTGCAAATTATTACTATGGTAGGGAAGGGACAGGGATTGATGACTTGCCTCTCCTGTTGCTTGCTACTAGTCTGACTGTTGGATTCAATTTGACCTGATTACTCTGTCTGCAGCCTTGTATCTGCTGACAGACACCAGCTTACTTCAGATCCATGATCAAAATGCACACATTTGCAGAATTAATTGCTGTCCTACAGACTGAGATCACTGGAGGTACTGATATAGGTGTGAATGAAATGGCTGATTTGTTGTTATTGTGTGGGAAATCCATGACTCTTAGTATGAAGAAACTTCTAACCATTATATGGTATGTATTATGGACTGTATAACTGAATCTTCAGTAGGGGCAGGAGAACATTGGCAATGTAGATACTGCAGTTGACCATGGCTACTGTTTTCTGTGGAAAGAGAGAAACTACTGTACTTGCTGGTGCTGGAGGAGACTCTTGAGAGTCCCATGGACTGCAAGAAGATCAAACCTATCCATTCTTAAGGAAATCAACCCTGAGTGCTCACTGGAAGGACAGATCGTGAAGCTGAGGCTCCAATACTTTGGCCATCTCATGAGAAGAGACGACTTCCTAGAAAAGACCCTGATGTTGGGAAAGATGGAGGGCACAAGGAGAAGGGGACGACAGAGGAAGAGATGGTTGGACAGTGTTCTCGAAGCTACCAACATGAGTCTGACCAAACTGCGGGAGGCAGTGGAAGACAGAAGTGCCTGGCGTGCTCTGGTCCATGGGGTCCCGAAGAGTCGGACACAACTAAACGACTAAACAGCAACACCTTTACTTGCAGGTTTGTTTCAAGATTTGGATCTGGAACACAATATCCCATTGTTTCCCAAAAGATGGGTCACAGACAGAACTTCCTAGCAAACTCAGTCGTCAGGAACTAGGAGTGGTGGCTAGGATACAAGGGCATCTGCTAGCATTTACTATCCTACCAACTCCCTGGAAAAGACCCTGATGTTGGGAAAGATGGAGGGCACAAGGAGAAGGGGACAACAGAGGACGAGATGGTTGGACAGTGTTCTCAAAGCTACCAGCATGAGTTTGACCAAACTGCAGGAGGCAGTGGAAGACAGGAGTGCCTGGCATGCTCCAGTCCATGGGGTCACAAAGAGTCGGACACGACTAAATGACTAAACAACAACAACAATGAAATCCTGAGAAACTGGAGGAAGGGATAATAATCATTGCTTTTTAAGACACAAGTCATTCTTACACACGTACTGGAAGAAGCAGTATAGATCTAATTCACAGCTCTCATGACTTTACAATGCCACAGCACATCTTTGAATGAAGACTGAGCAAAAGGAGGTTTGCCTTTCACTTGAGAATCTACATGCTTGCTCCCAGGCCTTGCATATTTTCATAAAAAGCAGGTAATTAAACAAAGCCCATGCAGTGCTGCAGATATTGTTTTTTTAAAAAAAAAAGACTATGCCATTTTAGTGCCAGCACCAAAGAAATCATTACACTCATTGTATATCTACAGGATGCTGTCTGGCACAACTGCACCAGGGGCAAACGGCTTCATGAAACAGTTTGTGCTTTCCTGGAGATTACCTTAAAACTTGCTTGCTGTGATCTTGATGAATGAAGCGGATTATATATTGGCTAGGCACCACATGTTTGAAAGCAGTTTCTGACTCTGAGACTTCGGAACATCAGTTGTGGCTTGTTTGTTTCATTTGGTGTCACTAACGTGGCTTGGAAGACATGACCGGGGTTTGCAAGAGACCACTTGTGAACTGGATCCGTGCTTATCTGCACCAGTGAGAGACTGTGGCGGGGAGAGTACGCTAACAATAGCACCCCTTGTGACCACAGGGACATGCAGTGTAGATGGTGCGTATAAAGACTTCCTTGGCTAAGGTGGCTTTCTCACATCTATATACTTGTGGCTTTCTGGCTGTGCTTGGCGCTTCAGGCCACATCAATCACCAGCCCTGCTTTTGACCGACTCCATCTTGTCAGAAGAATAGTAGGCTTCCCCAACTCTAGATTCTGTGCTAACCAGCAATTTATCCCACCTTAACCTCAAGGCCTCAATGCTGCAATCACGGCTGAACTGTGGTCAAGTTCACAACTGTACTGCAGCAGCATCGATGTTAGATTTTCATGTGGACTGAGAACAGTGGCGTGCGGTGAAATTTTTAGCAGGAGAACCGTTAGGGTCACAGGCACCAGCTTGCAAGGGTGATGGGGGGGATGACGTTGTACTTATGACATCCTGACGTTGTATGTGTACGCATCGTGTCTCCCTTCCTAAGTCAGACAGAAGCTTCTTGAGCTTTGGGAAGAAGGTGCCCGGGCTCTGACAGAATGCTGGAGCCCTCCTGCCTCCTCGCCATTTGGGAAGGTGGAGGGAGGGCTCTTGAGCCTGTTGGCAGATGCGCCAAGTTGCTCTCAACATTGGGGGGCTGTTGTGCATGCATGACATCACACATGTGCTGCCTCCCAACCCAATTTAACTGCAGCTAGCAGGGAAACTTAGTCTGGAAGTTCACACATTAGAATTGGAGCATTTACTGTAGGAATTCCATTGAATCAGCTTACAAAGGGACAGGCTTGCAGAATCTACGGTACTCTATTTCTAGAACTCTAGGAGGACGGTGTAGAAATTTTAATAATAATAATAATATAATTTCCAATGAAGCATATGGATTTGAATTTTCTTGCACCTTTTTACACTGGTACATTGAAGTATACGCTGATACAAATCATAATTGTTTTTATTATTTATTAGTATTCATATTTTAAGATGTCACAGATTTGGTCTTGTTCTCTTAAAAAGCCATTGAAGATAGTGAGAATCAACATTTTGTGGCAATGAATGCTAGAAGTGTGAATTGCATTAAGAAACGTTTCTTTTTATTTGCTATAAACCTTCTTCCAGTCAGGTTCACTGAATTACTTGACAATCGTGGCTCCACCTTAATGACTTTATCTAGCTTTCTGAATTGCTTTGATATTATATAGTCCTGCTCATTGTTAGAAACACAGTTTTTGTTGCACAAGATAGCTAAAATCCACTGGGTGCAGAAAGGCAAGAACACCTAGTTTCAGTGGGAATGGCTTGTTAGTTTCAAGTCATGCTTGAAGAAAGAATATCAACAAGACACACACAGAGAGAGGGGGGTGGGATATGTTCTTATTGCTTAAGGCCAGTGAAGATTTTTTTACAGATGACTTGAGCTAAATGCCAGAATCTAAATTATTTGGGACAAATTCAAAAAAGGTAGTTGTGATTGTTGTTTTCACTGCAACACATGAAGAATTCGATGGAGTATTATTTGGGACTCTTAATATTTCCTGCACTCATATTCTGGCAGTGTTTTTTCAAGAAATAATAAAGCAACTTACATGATGCGAGTGTCCTATCTAGAGGTTTGTTCGTAAGTCACAGTTAAAAAGCTTTTCTGACTCCTCTTGCATCACTTATCACTTCAGGGAACAACTAATATGAGGCAAGAATATTCACAGATATCCTAAGAATACCAATTTTGTCCTCAGTGGAAAGTTGGCTCATGAATCTCAATTACCAATTAAAAAGAGTAAAATGCCCACCTATGTTTAACCTTTTGAAATGAAAAGAAAAATCACATTACTATTTATGATGTCCTGCTTAGAAAATCAGAACTATTCAATTAAAGCAACTTTAAAGGAAATATGCAAACCACTGTAAGCACAGCTGAATCTGTTAAAATTGTACTCAGAGATGAATAAGACTCTCCTTTACTGAGCTCTGTATGGGGGCTTAATAATCAAGTGAATTGTGACTGGGGAGTCTTTCCCACACTTCCAGGCTGAAGTGTGATGTTAACTCCACCAGTTAGATCAGCATAGCTGTCAACTTTTCCCTTATCTTGTGAGGAATCCTATTCGGAATAAGGGAATTTCCCTTAAAAAAGGGGAAAGGTTGACAGCTATGTAGATCGGGGGTCCGCAAAGCATCGTGTTTTTATGAACTTAATAGCTCTATGTTTTCCCTATGTTTCACTAGGTCCATGAGCTTTGCCAAAAGTGAGAATTTCAAAAAAATGTTGCCCCCAGAGCACTGAAGCATTCTAATTCTTGTTGTTAAAAAACATTATCAGGTGGTTGTTTTTTCCAAAAGTTAAAAGTTTCATTATTATTATTTGATTTTTAATCCTATGATGCTCTGCTTTTACAACAGCAGCAGCAGCAGCAACAACAACAACAACAACAGTACTCATCACAACTTCAAAGGCAACATTTAAGAAAGCCACAAGTTTTAAAGCCTATTGGAGGACAAAAACAAGCATTGGAAATGCCAGTGTGAAACTGTAGAGTTTAAGAAAATAAACAAGCAGAAATGTTCTCCCTCCTCTTCTGCTGTGTGTGGAAGGGAGATGGCGGTGTATTTTATTTCACTTACTTCAAATTATGGTAAGCCAGTTCTGCTGCGGGGCCCTGGACCTCTTCCCCAAACAGCACTCTGGTGGCATCACTGAATGGATACTGAAATGAGAGCATTAATCTTAACTTTTGATTTCAATATAAACTTCATATAGTGTACTGTTTGGGCAAAAACATCACTACCTGTTGAGCCACCCCTGTTCTTTTGTAAATGTGCAGGACACTAATAGTTTCTCAGTTATGTTTTAGGGCAAGGAGCCATAGCTCAGTGGTAAGACAGATGCTTTTCGTGCTTGTCATGGTCACTTGTGACATCTTCAGCTAAAGGTAGCAGGTGATGGGAAAACACGAGCCTCTGCTCAGAGGGCTTCTGCCAGTCACAACAATAAATACTGGTCTAGACGGGCAGATAAACTGACCTGCTTTCAGGCAGCTTGGAACGCGTGCGTTTCCTTTTGCAGGAATTGGAGACCTGCAACAAAAAAGATACTTCATGAGTCGATGCTTCCAAGGATTGATTTATGCAACTGCTGACCTCCCTCTTGATAACACATGACCTCATTTATCATTTTAGTCACGACACATACTTTTCTCTGTCCTTACTTGAACCTGGCAGGCTTCTTTGTCCAAGCCCCTGTTTAATGAATTAGCCTGCAGTCAAGCTTATCTGATTTTGAAGAAACTAGTGCATCAATTACAAACGGAATTGTGTTTCAACGGCTGGTCCAAGTCATGCAAATCTAGATCTGTACCTGAAGCACTTCCAATTGAGCGTTCATAGGGTGGTTACATTGGCCAACATTCCACTAAAGGTAATGAATTATTATCCACGTTTTTACTAAAGCAACTGCCAAAAGATCTATGATCAGAATACTTCCATTTTTGGGGGGGAGGGGGAACCTGTGACTATTACCATTTACCTTGAAGGTAACTAACCTCCAACGGTTGTTACTGAATTCGCATCAGTCCATAGTAGCCCAACAGTATTTGCAGGACAGCAGATTAATCACCCCAAACATTTATATTCTGTGTTCTGTCCTTTATTAAAAACACACACAAACACACACTTCTGCGTGTCCTGTACATCAAGACAAAAGAGCAAGCATCTATTTTCAGATACCCCAATATTGCCAAACTATATGAGTAGGGTTGGGCGAATCTGTTGATTTCAGTTTCCCTTGTTTTTTCATTTTTCAAAACTTAAGTTCAGTTCTCCACATCTCCACATTACTTTGATTTTATATTTTTAAAAGTCTGTGTGAAAGTCCTCCTTCACAAGTGGCTAGGCTGTGAATGCAGCAGTAGCTCAACTGCTTTACAGAGTCCTAGTGGCAGAAGTGGGGAGTTGTAATTATTCTATTAGATAAATTTGATGATGATGATCATGATGATACATTTATTTATACTCTCCTTTTTTCCCTGCGGAACTCAAAGTAGCTTACGTATAAAAGCAAGAATGGCTAAAAACATAGAAGAAACAATCAATTAAAAACCATTAAACACTGATATAATGAAAACTATATGCATATATAAAATCTTGTTTAAAATATACAAATACAGTGGACCCTCTGGATATGAATGTAATTCAGTCCAGAGGTCCGTACATACCCCAAAAAATCCCCAAGTAGAGGTGCCGCTTCTGCGCATGTGCGCGGTGTGATAGAGCATTTCTGCGCATGCGCGCAGTGAAACCCAGAAGAATACATTCTGGGTTTGCCACATTCACAACCCGAAGGTAACGTAACCTGAGGGTCCACTGTAATTACAATAAAAACAACATGGCACCAGTCCTTTCATTAAAAGCAGTCAGTTCCGCTAAACCTGTCAGAGCAAGAACGTCTTCACCAGGACAACTAAGAAGAAGCTAATCTAGCTTCTCCAGGGAGAGGTTTCCAGAATCTGGGAGAAGCTCCCAAGACAACCGTTTCCCGCATCCTCACCAAATGTGCCTGTGAGGGTGGGATTGACAGAAGCGCCTCCCTTGATAATCCCAGGTTTGTCTCCTAGATGACCTTTTAGAAATGACACCACATTCAGATTCTGCTTGTGCAAGCTGTGCTAGTCCACTTTTTTTTTTAATAACGAAAAGCAGAGAAAAATAAGCTGACCAGAGGTGGGGCAGATCCAGACGGCTGAGGATAGGATGGCACCTCTGTTGGTTTCTGTATGCAGAGAACACTGAGTCTATGCAGCTCCAGATAAAATGTTTAAAGTGTGTTTTAAGTGCAATATGCAATGTGACACTAGATGGCGGTGATGATCCTTATGGAAAATTCAGTGTATTTTCAGAGCGGTTTTTATATGTGTCTGTTGCTGTCATTTAGTCATGTCCGACTCTTTGTGACCCCATGGACCAGAGCACGCCAGGCACTCCTGTCTTCCACTGCCTCCCGCAGTTTGGTCAAACTCATGCTGGTAGCTTCGAGAACACTGTCCAGCCATCTTGTCCTCTGTCGTCCCCTTCTCCTTGTGCTTTCAATCCTTCCCAACATCAGGGACTTTTCCAGGGAGCCTTCTCTTCTCATGAGGTGGCCAAAGTATTGGAGCCTCAGCTTCACGATCTGTCCTTCCAGTGAGCACTCAGGGCTGATTTCCTTCAGAATGGATAGGTTTGATCTTCTTGCAGTCCATGGGACTCTCAAGAGTCTCCTCCAGCACCATAATTCAAAAGCATCAGTTCTTTGGCGATCAGCCTTCTTTATGGTCCAGCTCTCACTTCCATATGTGTCTAGATTCCACCTAAGTTTAGCCAAAGCACGCTTTGGAGAATTCTCTGTCTGGGAGAAACACAGCAATGTGCTACGGCTGCTGCCTCTGTGGTCTGCCTCCCCGCCCTTCCCATTTCTGTCTTCAACAGTGAGAGAAAAAAATGAAAGTGCCAGAACTGAGGTAGCCACAGAGCTCTCTCATATTTGACTGTCGGATGAGCACACACTGTGAGCGGACAGAGAGGGAAAGCAGCCATTCGTACTGAATGATGGTGATAGGTGCAGGTGACACAAGAAGTGATGGGCAAACCATCCTTAGGATATTTATTTTCCAGCCTCCTTGCTGTATCCACACGCTTTTTAGAGCATTAACGACCACAGCATTCACTGCCTCTTGATTTAGATCTTGCTCAGAAAGCAAACCACAGGAAATGCAAAACCACATTCTCACTTTGTCATGCAGTTGGTTGAAAGTTAGCTCAGAGAAGGAAGATGATCACACAGACGTGAGTCAAACAAAACACTGTTTCTTTACTCCCACCCCCACAGTATTATGGTTGAATTCCCCCTCCATTTTCTACTGTCTGGTTCATTTACTCTGTGATAAAGAACACAGGATTTGGTGCCGAGTAAGATAAAGATAAAGATAAAGGGATGCGGGTGGCGCTGTGGGTTAAGCCACAGAGCCTAGGACCTGCCGATCAGAAGGTCGGTGGTTCGAATCCCCACGATGGGGTGAGCTCCCGTTGCTCGGTCCCTGCTCCTGCCAACCTAGCAGTTCGAAAGCACATCAAAGTGCAAGTAGATAAATAGGTACCGCTCCGGCGGGAAGGTAAACAGCGTTTCCATGCACTGCTCTGGTTTCGCCAGAAGCGGCTTAGTCCTGCTGGCCACATGACCCGGAAGCTGTACGCTGGCTCCCTCGGCCAATAAAGCGAGATGAGCGCCGAAACTCCAGAGTCGGTCACAACTGGACCTAATGTCCTGGGGTCCCTTTATCCTTACCTTTAAGATAAATACTTACAGGCTGCTTTTAAACCAGCAATTATTATCTGGCGATTTCTGCATTAAAAAATAAATAAAGTTCAGAAACGACTTGATCTGATAATAGTGGGCACATAAATGCGCAGCATGTATGCACAAACTTTTTCAAGAACACATTTCACTTGCACATGCAAACTGCAGTACATGTATGCCTTATCTTTCACAGTAATGTATCCAGTTGTAGGTCCTAAGTAACACTCCTAGGGATATTTACTCTTAATCCAGTTGGATTCAGTAGGGATTACTGTCAAGTTTATAAGAACGGAAGAATAATAGAATCATAGAATCATAGAGTTGGAAGAGACCACAAGGGTCATCGAGTCCAACCCCCTGCCAAGCAGGAAACACCATCAGAAGAGCCTGCAGGATCAGGCCAATGGCAGATCTAGTCCAGCATCCTGTTCTCACAGTGGCCAACCTGTGGAACCCCCAAAGGAGGACGTGAGCACAGCAGCACATGCCCCTCTTGCGATTCCCAACACCTGGTATTCAGAAGCATACTGCCTCAGACATGGAGCCAGAGCACAGCAGTCATGTTTAGTAGCTATTCATAGCCTTTACCTCCATGAAATTGTCTAATCTACTTCTAATCCAAATTGGTGCCCATCGCTGCTCCATAATTTTAACTATGTACTGAGGAGGTGTTTTTGTCTTTCCTGAATCCCTCAACATTCTACAGTGGTACCTCAGGTTAAGTACTTAATTCGTTCCGGAGGTCCGTTCTTAACCTGAAACTGTTCTTAACTTGAAGCACCACTTTAGCTAATAGGGCCCACCACCGGAGCATGATTTCTGTTCTCATCCTGAAGCAAAGTTCTCATCCTGAAGCAAAGGGAGGTGTGAGGAGGTCAGGGAAACAAGCATATGAAAGATACGTCATGGGAAGGCTCGATTTGTCTTCTTCTTTTTTTTGTATGTTGTTTTTAAGTGTTCTTATTTCCTTGTTTTTTATTGTGATGTGTTGTTTTACTATTGTCTAATCTGGTGTTTTTTTTGCTTTCTGTTTTCTTTTGTCTTTTTGTAAACTTAAAATCTTAATAAATACTATTTAAAAAAAAAAAAAAGCAAAGTTCTTAACCCAAGGTACTATTTCTGGGTTTGCGGAGTCTGTAACCTGAAGCATCTGTAACCCGAGGTACCACTGTACTTCATTGCATCTCCACGAGTTCTAGAGTTATGAGGGAGAAGAACTTTTTTCTGTGCACTTTTTCTATGTCCTGAATAACTGCATGCACTTCTGTCATGTCGCCTTCTCTCAAGTACTTGGGCACATGATAGCTTCCAGACTGGCAGCTCCTAGCACTGCTAATAATTTCTATGGTGCTGTTGCTGTGTGTGGAATTGCAACTGACTCTTCACTCTTTGGGGATAGGGTGCTCTTTTCAGTTTGTATATCCCTCTGTCTCCTGTCCATATAGGCAGTTATGGTATGGCCATGCAGTCTGGGAAGGGACACTTCACCTGAATTTGCCATTGCTTTCATCTATTTTCCTCCAGTCAATTTATATATATACAGTCATACCTCATGTTACGTCCGCTTCATGTTACGTTCTTTCAGGTTATATCCGGCGGTGACCTGGAAATACCGGAAAGGGTTACTTCCGGGTTTTGCCGCTTGCACATGCACAGAAGCGGCAAATCACAACCCGCGTGTGAGCAAACGCACTGCTGCGGGTTGCGTTCTTTTCATGTTGCAAACGGGCCTCCAGAACCTCTGTGTGTGTGTGTGTGTGTGTGTGTGTGTGTGTGTGTGTTCAATTTCTCCTAGAGCACTTTCTAATTTGTGGTAAAGCACTTTTTATTTAGGCCATGCTCCATGATTACAATAACTTCTTTAAGAAGTGGGCTAAGTGTTGGCACTAATTAACAGATTGCCAGGCAGGGGGAATATGTGGTGCTAAAAGGTGCTGACTGAAAATTACCTAATTCTCAGACCTGGGAACACCATCCCAAAGGACTTACATCTTGTTGTCACTTGGTTTCAATATTGCCAAACAACCAGTCCATCACTGCATCCAGACACTGCTCTGGGGGCCTGCATGCTCTCACCTGTCTCAGGTGACATGGAGAAATAGATCTGGGATTTATCTGCATATTGACACTGAATAGCCGCTCTCTATTCGCGCACCTTTAAGGGGTGCTTGCTTGATGTCATACACCTTGCAGATTTTCCATGTTCAGCTTCCTTCACCCACATCCTCAGATAATCTAACTTTTTAGTGAACTTTAACAGCTGTACCATTTCCCCAGGTGTAGGCAGCCTTTCACACAGCTATTCTGTTCTATGGATTCCTAGAGAGAAACCATTTGTCAATTTCACCTCATTCCCCCCCTTCAACAAGCAGCTGGACTTGCTGCAGTAATGGTGGGGGGAAAGTCTTCTCGGTTTCACTTTGCAAAAATGTGCCCTGCTTCTGTCTAATATATCTGCCTTTTGGAAGAGAAAAAAATCCCATCTTCTCCTGCACCTGGAGCAATGATGGTAGCCAGGGCTCGAGCTGCAATTTCCACAGCAACAGCAGGAGAACAGGAGAAGGGAGGATAAAGTTTTCTAAGAAGCCGCAGTAGCAGGCCTTGTAGTTAAGGGGTTGGGGTAGGGCCATTTCTCCAGTGCAACAGTCGCTCTGTGAAGAAAGTCTATTGCACAAGGGATGGAAATTGTACAGTTACCACCTATCGGAGCCGATAGTAGACTATTCTGAGTTAGCTGCTTTTTTAAGTTTCCTGATTCATAGGTCGTCATCATAAGGGTTGGCTGGCAAAAACTTACAGGCGGGTGAAATAAATGTTTCATTTCCCCAAACATGAGAGTTTCTTTCTTTTAACTCCTTCACGAGACTGATAGTCATCAAGCACCATAAGGGAAAGTTGAAAGGGACTTTGATGAGAGTGAAAGCTTTGAGAGGTAAACAGGTGGGGTCCACGCAGTGAGAGCTGTTTGACAGTGGAAGACTCCCATGAGAGGTGGTAGACTCTACTTCCTTGGAGGTTTATAAGCAGAGATTGGATGGCTATCTGTCATATATTATCTAGTTTAGATTCCAGCATTGAAGGGGGTTGGACTAAATAGCCCTCAAGGGCCGTTCCAACTCTACAATGCGATGATTCTTCGATTCCCCGCTCCCTTTCCTGAGTGGTGAAAGAACAAGCAAACAAACCAGAGGAAGTGTAAACTATTTCCTTTTCACGAAAGCCATAAAGCTGACTCAGGGCAATCGTTTTTCTTCTTAAAATTTGAGTTCAGCAGCAGCCTGGACAACAATACCCTCCATTTTAATGTCTTCCATATCCGGTTCACATCTCTGGTGTATTATGTACAAGGATTTATTTTCTTCTAGGGATGGGGTTCTGTCTGCGAGATGCAACAGCGGCAGAAGTGCTGGAAGCATCTCTGACAGCTGAGTTATGGGAGTGAGAGGATGATTGGAAAAGGGAGCAAAACGGGGGAGGTTTGAGACGGTGGGCAACCGATTAATGTATCTTAATGCAGCCCAATCAAAATGGCAGGCAATTTCTGCCAGTCACTGATGCTTCTGCACAAAAGCTAATAGATTCTCCGAAGCGCATTGTGGAAAGGGGAAGCGCTATTCTCTCCTTTTGTTCCTTTAACAAGAGAGCCTTGGGAAGAATAGTCCCTCACTGAAAACAGATTCAGTGTTTCCAGACTTCAAAGAGCACAGGTTTCTTTAACATTAACAAGCTTCAGCTTTTGTATCTCACAGTGAAAGGACATTTTGCATCGCTCAAAATCCTTTGGGGATGCGGCTGCATTTACTCAGCATGTTAATTGCAAAACAATGCAGAATTTAGATTTTTTGTGGGTGTCTTCTGTCAAAAAAAAAAAAAGAGCACGGAGCAAAAAAAGCAGGAGGATGGTTATTCATTCTGTGGGGAGCAAATGAGAATGTGTAAAAAACCAGGGACTTCCTTGGAAAGAATCTCAATCTTCCCCACCAAGAAGACCCTAATTAAAATTAGAAGAGACCAATGAAACAATCTGCATCTTTGTTCTTTTCCTGGTGTTCCTGCACACTTTCTCGTTTCTGTCTTCATTACGGGCAGTGCTTTAGTTTCACATCAGCCCTCTTGTAAGGGGCACCACCTGCCTGCTTTTATGAAACTGTTGAGCAACTGAAAATATTAGGTTCACTAGGTCAGCTTGGAGGCATAATAAAAATAATGAAAGTCATCCCCCCTCATTTTTGGAAGAAGCTATCTGTAAATTAGAGCTGCACTAACTGTTCATCCATTAACATGTTCAAAGGGTGGGGAAATGGTGCTTTTGGGTGCTTTCAGTCACTGTTCTCACTGCTGTGTCTGTGGGTTTGTTTGTTTGTTAAGGACTGCTTCCTAGGGTGATCCCATCCAAAACCAATTGCCCTCATTCTGATTTTTGTTTTTAACTTGTTTTTCACCTTTTTATGTCTTTACTGATTGGTTTTATGTTCTAATTGTCGTAAGCTACTTTTGATATCTTTTTTGTGGTACAGTGGTGTATATGTGTGGGTGTGTATGTGAATATATATAAAATAAAATCCTGAATATCCCCCCTCCAGTGTTGACAGCAATAGCCCAGTTCATATGTTCAATCTAGGTACAATGAACGTGTTGAGGAGAGAGGTTTGCCTTGCCCCTGCCGTGGTCACATAGCTGGTTGTGTGAACAGATCCAACATATCATTTACAGGTTGCGCAAAAGTAGGATCTGTTCACGCAACCAAAATCTGACTCCTCGTAATGTACCCATTCATGATACACACAGGTCCCGCTATCTGCCTGCTTGTTATGTGAAAATTCATCTAGCCAAACATAAATAATTATGCCCAAACCTTGCTGTGCACACTGCACATTCAGCCAGAGTTTGCCCGCTTCTTCCAAAATAACAGATTTTTACCCCGTAGTGGTCTCTTGCTGCAAGGGCATTTTGGTCCAGCTCCAAGTGACCTCATCTCAGTAGGTAACCCATTCGGTACCCCATAAGCCAACAGGTGCAATGTTATGCAGTCAGCTCTAATACTAATAGTAAGGTTGTGTAAAATGGAGACACTCTTTGTAGTCCGCACACAAACTATATCTATTGCATATTTTTTTGCCCCTGAAATGTGCTTAAGAGACTGGTTTCATTACAGAAATTAAAATGTGTTGTAGATTGATTACTTCAGTGTGTCCATTTGAAAATAGATGTAGGTGGTCTCAGCTACTAGCATCACAATCTTCTCTTCCTTCTTCATGTACGTCTGGGCATGAACAGAGAGGAGAAAACAGGTATGGCCTAATCAAGGGGAGGGTTGTCAAATGCATATCTTGCATCTGCACCTACCCTTCTCTGTAGCAGGCGCTGGAAACTAGATTGAAAGCATCAGGCTATGGATGAGCGTGAATTATTCCAGATTGGGGGAAAACTGTATTTTTGTGTTATAAATTGATTAGTGTGTTTGCAGCCTAAAGTGCAGCAGTTGTTGTATCTGAAATATGTCTTTATTTATTTATTTATTTATTTATCTATCTATCTATCTATCTATCTATTTCAGCAGAATATTGATAAGTGCCATCTTTTTCTTTTTTTAAACATCTTTTATTAAAGATTTATTGGTTTACAAAAGTATGTGCAATGTCTCTTTTTTCAAGTTACATTTTCTATAGATCAGTTTCATTTGTTTAGACATTAGTGTTACATTAGGAAGAAAAGGGGGGAAAGAGGTGGAGGGGGCCATGGTGAGTGGGGGTAGGGTGGGGTGGCAATGCTTGTGTTCTGCTTAATGTATGTGTGGGGTTTTGTGTCAGCGTCGCTTGTGCTGGTTCTCTTTACTATTCTCTTGTATTCCTTCAGTGGTGAGACAGGTTGGGGTTGGCCTAGGGCAGCCTTTCTCAACCTGTGGGAAGGCCAGAGCTCAGGGTTGATGGGAGTTGTAGTCCAACAACATCTGGGGACTCACAGGTTGAGAACCGCTGGCCTAGGGTATGGTTGTTGGTTTGTGATTAGCTGTGGTGAACTTTGTTTTCATGTGTGAGTGGGGGTTTTTTAAAATCAGGTTAGCCAGATTGATTCGTATGCTGTTAGTGGATTCTTGTTGTTGTCTTGTTGGGCTGTGTATGTGATAAAGGGGAGCCATACCGGGGTGAAGGTGTCGTCTTCTATTTGTCACCGTGGCAGTTACAGTTTATTGGTTATTTTTTCTAATAAGGCTGTTTTCCATACTATTTGATACCACTGGTCCATGCTTACTCCTAAAAGGTCTCTCCAGTGTCTGGCTAAGATGTTTCTGGCTGCTGAGAGTAGGTGGGTTATGAGCTCTTGCGTGGGCATTATTATCTTGGAAAGTGCCATTTCCTTTCTTGATAAATTTCCTTTTCTTCTACAGCTAAATGATACTCTTTGTCTGCTAAAAAAAAAAAACTACAGCAGCATACTTGTTTATGACCACAGTATAACCTCTTCATAGTTGTACAATTTTCTGTCGTCCACTGACATGTGGTAAGCAGACCGTGTGCTTGGTCTGGGTTTCATGGCAATTTTTATTATCATTATTAATAATAATTTGTATGCTGCCTTTCATCCGATGATCTCAGGGTGGTTCACAACAGAAAAAGACAAAATTACAGTACAAAATATACAATAACACAAACACAAACCAATAACAACCCCCCCCCACACACATATTTTAAAAGCCATAGAATGTTAATCAGCCAAAGGCCTGGCTAATGAGAAACATTTTCACCTGGTGCCTAAATACATGTAACGAAGGTACTAGGCATGCCTCCCTGGGGAGAGCATTTCACAAATGGGGAGCCACCACAGAAAAGGCCCATTCTCATATGGACACCCCCAGACCTCTCATAGAAGAGGCCCATGAAGACGAGCCTCAGATGATTATTGCATCATATGGTGATAGTCCTTGAGGTATTGCAGTCCTGAGCTACTTAAGGCTTTATAGGTCCAAACATAGCACTTTGCATTGGGCCCAGAAACTAATTGGCAGCCAGTGCAGTCAGGCCGGAATTGGTGTAATGTGCTCAGTCTTGCCCTGGTGAGCAACTTGGCCACCAAATTCTGCACCAGCTGAAGTTTCCAAACCATCTTCAGAGGCAGTCCTATGTATAATACGTTGCGGGAATCTAACCTAGAGTTTACCAGAGAATAGAGAACAATAGTTAGGCTACCGCTGTCCAGATAGGGGTGCAGCTGGGCCACCAACCAAGGCTGATGGAAGGCACTCTGTACCTCAAGTGACAGCAAAGTATCCAGAAGTATCTGTAAGCTATGTACCTGCGCCTTCAGAGGGAGTGCTTTGCAAACAAGTCACAGTGAGCTACTGTTGGTTCTACCACCTCTTTGGACCAGACAATGGAGGCAGCATAATGTGTCTTCTATGCTGCCTTCACTGTCACCAAGTAGGCTCAGTCATGAGCCTCCACCAGTGTTTGTTTTATTGCTGAGTTCGTCTGCAGCATAATGTAGAACATTAAAAACTAGGCCCAGAGTTAAAATCAGAGTGCCATACTTATGATACAAACCTGCTCAGCATGTCTGTACCACTGCTCACAGCAACCTTTGCTTAACACCTCTAGAAGAAAAGAGTTGGTCATATTCCAGGGATAGATATATATCTCTTTTTGCCCATAATTCCAATAGATTGATTATATAACTGAAGCCTTTTATCATTATGATGTGTTTACTTCTACTTTGTGCTTTCCTAATGCAGCCTGGATGTGATCAGTCTCATTTAATGTTTTGTCCAAATACCTGCTCAGTACAGCAGCTTCCGATGCCTGCGGCATGGTTGAATTACTGCTCTTTAAAGCATTAATTTAGAAGTGGAGATAGCCACTGTGGGTGTTTCTTATCATAAGAACACCGCTGTTTTGAAGGTACATATATCTTCATGCAGTGGGCAGTTTAAAGTAAATTGGGAGAATTTAATAATTGAGTTGAACAACACAAAGCAATGAATCTCTGAGCATTTTGTAGTGTGGCAGGGGAAGGGTTCTTATATGCTTCTATAACAAAATAATAAGAGCCCTGCTGGATCAGTCCAAAGTACCAGCATCCTGTTCTCACAGTGGCCAACCAAATGCCAATGAGAAGTCCACAACCAGGATATGGGTGTAACAGTTCTCTCCACTTGTGATTCCCAGCCACTTATCGTATTTTTCGCTCTATAGGAGGCACTTTTCCCCCTCCAAAAATTAAGGGGAAATGTGTGTGCGTCCTATGGAGTGAATGCAGGCTCCTTGGCTTCGGCGATAGCAACGTGAAGCGCAGCGGGAACTCTCCTGGCTTCAGCAGAGAGGGAGAGCTGTGCAGCGCCCCTTCAACCAAGCGGGAGGAGAAACGGAAGGGGCTCCGTTTCTCCTGCCGCTTCGCTGAAGGGGCGCCGAGCAGAGAGGGGGAGAATTTTTTTTCTTGTTCTCCCCCTCTAAAACAAGGTGCGTCCAATGGTCAGTGCGTCCTATAGAGCGAAAAATACGCTATATTCAGAGACATACTTCCTCCAGCAGAAGAGGCAAATCATAGCTGTTGTGGCTGGTTGCTGTTGATAGCTTTATCCTTCATGAAATGGTCTAATCTTCTTTTAAACCCATCCAAGCTAGTGCCCATCACTACTTCCAATGCGAGCAAATTCCATCGCTTTACTATACACCGTGGAGAAATATTTTGTTTTTTCTGAACCTTCCACAGGATGACACTGAGGTATAGTATTATGAGATACATAACATACACCTCTATCACGTTCTCCGTTATCCACCATTTCCCAAACTACGGAAGCCCCCAATGTTTCCTCATAGGGGAGCTGCCTCATAGGGGAATTGAGGGGCACCAGTTGGACCAACGCACAAAATGGGAGCATGAAAATTCCCTTTGACAGGGAAATCAGACATTAAGAAGGGAATAACGGAAAATGTTGGGGTGCAGGGGCCAATTGGTGGAAGGTCACAGGAGTCACTACATGATGTTTTAGTAACCTTTAAAAAAAATACCATTCACTTTGTAATAATAATAATAATTTACAGTGGTGCCTCGCAAGACAAAATTAATTCGTTCTGCGAGTTTTTTCGTCTTGCGAGTTTTTTCGTCTTCCGAAGCACGGTTTCAATTTTTTCAAAAAAATCTTCAAAAACCTCAAAAAGGCTACCACACCGCATGCTATGAGTTGCTCCCCGAAGTCAAGTCGCAACTGCACCTCTTCAAGCAATGCACCCTGTATTACTGTAACAGTTTTAAGAAAAAGGAAACAAACTTGCAAGACGTTTCCGTCTTGCGAAGCAAGCCCATAGGGAAATTCGTCTCGTGAAGCAACTCAAAAAACCAAAAACTCTTTTGTCTTGCGAGTTTTTCGTCTTGAGAGGCATTCGTCTTGCGAGGTACCACTGTATTTATACTCCACCCATCTGGCTGGGTTTGTAAGCCTGCTTTATAATGTGTACTAATGGTGTTTCTTTTCTCTTCCTCCCCCACCTAATAATAATAATAATAATAATAATAATTACTTGTGAACACTTCTGTAATGAGTTGGGCCTTAGGAAACCCAGCTTCAAATCCCTACATGCTTTTGAAAGCAATGCATTTCAATTTAAAGGAGTGGCTTTTTAGATTTAATTAATAATTGGTCTCTGTGGCTATCTCATGTTTTTCCATCCACAGCTGTTCATTTTTCCAAAGGCTCTTTGCTACCAAATGCAGCTTGGGAGTCATCCATTTATTTATTTATTTTGTAACAGCTGCCGCTACATTTCTTTCAGGGCTGCAGCCTTAAAAGATTTCAAACTGAACATACACCTGTGGAATTTGACCAAGATTTCTTAATCTTGACATCAGACATCAGATTCATGAAATCCCACACTAGTACATTCTTAGGCCATAGCTGCCACCACAATCTATGGTAACATTTCATTGATTTCCATACAAGTACTCCAGAGTAGAGGTGAAGCAGCCATTGGTTTGCTTTACATATTAGGAGACATATTCACGTTTCTCTGAATTGTGCAATACAGGGTTTTTTTTCCAACCAAAGAATGCACTCAAAAATGTGTATTTTAGTGTAAAGTGCATGCTAAAATACATTCTGTTATGGGTAACTTGCCTGCACAAATGCTTATACTACGCAACACTGCATACAAAAATGTGTCTATTGGAAGAGATTGCATGAAAGTGCATTCAAATATTCATGTAGACTTTTGAAAAAGAATTGTAGATGTATGTGGAAATGGGATGCGCTGAAAACAGGATTGGAAAAATGAGAAACCAAGGTAGACTTATTTGCCTAACCCTACCCTAGGTTAGAGGGACGCGGGTGGCGATGTGGGTTAAACCACAGAGCCTAGGAATTGCTGATCAGAAGGTCAGCGGTTTGAATCCCCGTGACGGGGTGAGCTCCCGTTGCTCGGTCCCTGCTCCTGCCAACCTAGCAGTTCGAAAGCACATCGAAGTGCAAGTAGATAAATAGGTACTGCTCTGGCAGGAAGGTAAACGGCATTTCCGTGTGCTGCTCTAGTTTGCCAGAAGCGGCTTAGTCATGCTGGCCACATGACCCAGAAGCTGTACGCCGGCTCCCTCGGCCAATAAAGCGAGATGAGCGCCGCAACCCCAGAGTTGGTCACGACTGGACCTAATGGTCAGGGGTCCCTTTACCTTTACCCTAGGTTAAGTAAATGGTATGCTTGAAAAGTGCTATTCCTAGAAATGCCTGTTGGTTGTAAACTATAAACTGGAGTATCCAAAGCAGTGTTCAGTTTATAGGGGGAAAGGTACAGAGTTGCTTGATGAACTCTACCTCCTGACTCCCCTTAGTTTTTAGCCAAATCATAGCCTATCTACCAATATTCTATAAATGTGTCACCATAGAGGCCTGACCCCTTATAATTCAGGCATTTATCTGCAGAGTCTCAAAGCATCGAGAGTATTTCACTGCTTTCAGAGAAACAACATCTTTTCCTCACTCCCATGGTTGAGCAAAGGTATAAGATTAATGCTTCTATTCATCCTAACATCCTTTATGAAGCTCCATGGTGACCTGCTAAAAATGGTGGGGAGGAGCATTGCTATCAGGATAGACCATAAAAGCTTCATTCAGCACCCAAACCGAAGTCAGGAAAACCCTCCTGTTTTAGAAATAATCCATTTTAGCCACACTGATGCTTTTGTGAACCAATGGTTACATCCATGCTTTGGGGAGACAATTACCAATCTGTGAAATAACATCTTGTGACTGGCTTTTGGCAGGCTATGAAGGGGAACTCTGTGGAAAAATCGACAGAGGGTCATTTTTTCATTAACCTTTCGTATGTCTCCCTTAATATCTGAAAATATAGGAAGTAACTCAGTACTCCTTCAGCCATCTAAAATTATACTGAATCTAATTGGGTTTCTAGGTACTTTGGAAGATCAGGAGCTGAAACTGAATTGGCAGTAGATGGCAAACTGCCAGAACAAAGTCAAACGTGCCATTCTCAAAGCTTTGAAAACATTTTAAAAGGAAAGTGAGGGAGAGGGGTACAAAAGGCCCCTGTGGAACTGCTTGGAATTGTAGTTCCAAGCCTTAGCTGGTGAAGACTAGAACTAACCAGCAGTAAAATGTGGGCGACTGATTTCTTTCAGATGAATGCGTATCTGGGAGGGAGGGATGCTCCCACCCCGGATGAATAATAATTCCCAGCTTTCATTTCTTTAAAGAAAAAGTTTCTAGCATATGTTGAATGTGAGATAGGAGTCAAAATGTACAGGTACTGTTCTTTTCATTTGTGTGTGTGAAGGAATCTAGCCTGTTCCATCCTTTTCAATGCTTTACCCACTCCCACCAAAAAATTCACATGGATGCCCATGTACAGATGTAGGCAGGGTTCCCTGCCCCCGATACCATTTTAATATAATGAGACCTTAAAGAGAGTGGACTAATAAAATGGAAAGTATAACATTTTAATCAATTGTTTTTATACCTGGTGTTAGCCGCCCTGAGCCCGGTCTTGGCTGGGGAGGGTGGGGTATAAATAAAATTTATTATTATTATTATTATTATTATCATCATCATCATCATCACTGTGATAAGCACTGAAAGTGTATGCATTTGCAGATACAGGCCTTTTGGAAGGAAAGGGGAGACAGACTACAACATCAACTGGCTATGGTATTCCAGTTCATTGCTTCTTTAGTACAGTGTTGAGTTTCTATGCAGCTCTGTGCATCTGTTGCTGGACTTAGTTTTAAGATCACACTTTTGAATGGTTTCTCTATCTGCGGAAGCCATGCTTGGTATGCTGCTGTGACAATGTTTCCATAAAAAGATTAGGCACCTGTTCCCTCCGATATGTATTCCCAAGTGTGTTTTGAGCGAGCAGCTTATGCCATTCAATGCTGTCTTGGTTTCGCCAACCTTTCTGGAATGTTCCTGAGGAGAAGAGAGTTCAGTATATTTCCAGGGAGACCTTTTTCTCCCTGTGGCCACTGCAGGCCTTCAGGTAACCACTTCACCAAAACCCACCGATACCACCTTCCCAACTGCACCTACGTGGTGTAAGGAATATCCAGTTTTTAAAAAAGAGAGAGAGAGAGAGAGAAATTGTAGTGAAGGATCTTACAGTTAAGATGTTCTAGGGTATGGACCAGTTTTGCTATGCAGTCCTCTTGTAAAACCATCTGTTGAAGGGCAATATATAAATATAGCAAACGAATAATGTGTAAGAAACTCCAGACAAATAAACACACTAGTCTGTAACAGTAGGAAAACCAAAAGGCCCCCTGTCACCATAGCAACTTCATGACACACCATGCTATACACTTTGACAGGCAACAGCCTACTTCATTAGATGAGCAGCTGAACTGAGAAGTGTGGTAGATGCATAGAAGTAAAATGTCAGGATTGTTGGCATCTGTCTGTCTTGGGCAAGTGGATTTGGATTTGAAGAAGAGTTTGGATTTGATATCCTGCCTTTCACTCCCTTTAAGGAGTCTCAAAGCGGCTAACATTCTCCTTTCCCTTCCTCCCCCACAACAAACACTCTGTGAGGTGAGTGGGGCTGAGAGACTTCAAAGAAGTGTGACTGGCCCAAGGTCACCCAGCAGCTGCATGTGGAGGAGCGGAGACGCGAACCCGGTTCCCCAGATTACAAGACTACCGCTCTTAACCACTACACCACACTGGCCAGCTTGCTCCCGTGATTTAGCAAGTGTGTGAGTGAGGTGAGCACATCGCATGGCATGTGCACACAGCCACCACATAGTTTTGAGGGGTCCCGGCCCCCTCCTTGAAAAGTAATGTCTGGCATTTTTCTCAATGTGATGCACTTGAAGGCACATGCAAAGAGATGTTGGGCATCTTTTAAAAAGCAACAGTAGCAGCATACGTCTAAATTGGCAATAGTTTATGCCCCATATGAGAAAAGTAATATATCAACATTTCCATGTTTCACAAAGTGTCAATTGGTGTGGGTGGAATTATTTAAAATTCATATTGGACAAATACGATCCCTATCCCTTTTGCACGCTAATGTGCTGTTCTAAGTCATGCATCGTGACATCTTCAAAGAGGCCAGTCATAATTATGATGGATTAGACTGCAGAATTGGTCCTAGATGTAATCATTGTTTCGCAGATGCTACTGATGTGCCATGAATTTCTAATAAACTACGGCTGGTCCTGTGTGTGTGTGTGTGTGTGTGTGTGTGTAAGTAAAACTGATAAGTATATTGGCTGGAGTTCAGTAACTGAAGGGGGCAGGAAATACAAATTACTATACTTGGGGAAAGACTCTGCTTTGGAAGAGGTACAATTTACTTCATACAAAAGGGGAAGGGATTTGTCCAGCTATTTGCAGATTGCTAATTCCCCATTTTGGAAAGAAAATAAATATATTGAGCAGTGACCCAACAGCTCAATATATTGGTAGTGACCCAACTCCAACAGAAATCCCTAGATGGCCTTCAAGTTGGCTGTGATTTCTTCCTTACTAAAGGACATATTATCCATGTCCCAAACTCAGTTGAATAAGCCAATTGACTTTCACATTGGCTGATTTCTCTCTTAGTTGTTCTACCATGAATGGTGGGCAGATGTTGATATAGAAATCCTAAACTCGCACAATCCTTCCCCTTCTCAACCCATGAATTTTATTTATTATTTACTTGTGTGTGTGCACGCACGCATGGGTATAAACACACACACACACACACACACACACACAGACATGCATATGCATGCACTATAAGTAGTTTATAGACAACAAAAACATGAGACAACTTAAATACTACAAAAATACAGTTGCATTAATAAAAATATGAAACTATTAATAAATATGAACCAAAATGAATTTTACATCCTTCTGACATGCCTTCCTCCTCAGCCGCCTGGTTTCTACTCACCCAACCCAGGGCCCAAACAAACCCATAGTTCACCCACAAAAATCTCACAAAGGGTGCCTGGAAACTGTTAACATTGCCCCTAGTCTCTAACTCTAGCCTTGGTGTTTGGGGTGGATGGGGCTTCCTACAGCTGTGTCCTATTCAGCAGTCAGCTACACTTTCTGTTAAGTTGTGGGCGAACATATCAGATGACACAGCGATTCTTCCAAAGCAGCTCTTTATTTGCAAGCTAGAACAGAACTGAACTGAGGAGCTCAGTCAGCCTGCTTATATAGAGCTCCAGAACAATGTAACTGTTGCAACTTTCTAAAACTATCCAATCACTGAACGCCACTTTCGATCCTTCATTTGCATACAAACTAGCCAATCACTAAACGTCACTTTCGATCCTTCATTTGCATACAAACTATCCAATCACTGAACGTCACTTTCAATCCTTCATTTGCATAACTATCTACAGTATTCCCCTGCTGGCCCAGGGTGAGAACTTCAGTACATAAGACTTTCCATACCTGGGTCCTGCAGGTCTAGTGAGTTTCCCAGGGGGTCCCAAGGATGCGAAAATAGCATCCCTCCATTCACTGTTCTTTCTCTGGCCTCTGCCCACTTCTCTTCCTCCAGCTGCTTTCTTGTTCCATGAAGGACAGTAAAGCGGAGATCTATTTAGGATTTTTTTGGATTGCCGTGCTTACCATACCATACAGATGTGCACTGTATGAATGAAATTCAGAATTTTGAACTTGTGTGAGAATTGTTGGAATGAAAGCTTGCACTTGCAGAGGGACATACTTCGATATTTACAGTTCCACCTCCACCTATGGTTTGTCTTTATGGCCCAATATTAGATAAAGGGCACAAGTAGAAAAAAATTAATGGGATTTTTTTGGGGTGTGGAATGCCTCACCCCATCTCACTTATTAAACGCAGAGGTCTAATACAGAGGACTTTCTAAGATGTTTTGGTTTTTTCTTCACATGTGGTCATTTTAGATAACTGCAAAAATTTGAATTTCTGTTTTCTTTTACTTTTTACATTACAAGGCAGAAATAAGCATGGAAAGTAGAGCACAGCATTCAAACATCACACAGAAAAGGGAGCAAGCAATCTTGTTCTGCTGCTGCAGTCTGTGTAATAGGTGACATTTTCAAAGACTGGCTTTGCTGCTGCAATCATTGCATGCAAATATCCTGTTTTAATAATTCAAGCAGGTGTTAATTAATCATACTGAAGCGTTCACATCCCATTTCACTAGCAGCAGTGTTTTTAATGACAAACTTCACATGATTTGAAACTCGGCTTGTCCCATGATGCAGCTCACAGACCTCCAAATAGAAGAAGAGCTCTGCAGGATCAGGCCAAAGGTTCACTAGTCCAGCATCCTGTTCTCACAGTGGCCAGTCTAATGCCTATGGGAAGCCCACACACAGGACCTGAGTGTAGCAGTGTTCCACCTCAACATCAACTGTGATTCCCAGCAACTTGTATTCAGAGACATACATGGGACTTTGAATTCTCTGTGGGTGCCCTTGTAAGCTTTGATGTTGGAACCTCAGAATGCTCAAAGCTGTTTAGTGCTGTCTTCTCCCCCCGATGAAAGAGTGAACATCTGTCCAGCTGTGTTCACTGCTTTTGAGAGTGTATTTTTTTTAAAAAAAAAACCTTCATCTGTTCAGTCTCAGAGCTGCTGAATTCCATTATAGCATTGATTGTAATATATCTCTTTTGGAAAGAGAGCTTGCGATTCTTAGACCACTTCTAGAGTCTTCCCATACATGTTGCTGTTCTCCAAGAAAGATGCACAGCTGCATATTTTTTGACATAATATACCGTATTTTTCGCTCCATAAGATACACCTTTTTCTTCCTAAAAAGTAATGGGAAATGTCTGTGCGTCTTATGGAGCAAATGCGTGGGCCCTGGATTTTTGCAATGGGTCACTCCAAATTCACCATCAGATCACATAGCATGTCCATGGCTATAGCCTGCACCAAAAAAATCACGCATCCACTGTTTCGGTGGGCCTCAATGGCGCAAAAACGTGGTTACAAAGCATGGATCCACATGGATCCTCAGGATTTTTGCATTGGGTCACCCCAGATTCACCATCAGATCACATAGCCTGCACCACAAAAATAGCGCATCCACTGTTTTGTTCAGAATATTTTTTTTCTTGTTTCCCTCCTCTAAAAACTAGGTGTGTCTTATGGTCGGGTGCGTCTTATGGCGCGAAAAATACAGTATATCCCAGCACTTTTAGACTGTCACAATTTCCATGAGGCTCTCGATCTAGAAAGGGGAAGTGCATTAGATGAAGTGCTTAATTGCCATCTGGGTTTGTGTGGCATGCATCAAATAAACATGGATTTCCCCCCCTACCCCATTCTCTCTTTCAGATACAATAGGAGGGCAGCCTTGTGGATGGCCCCAGAGTAGGCCAGATGGAACAGGATAGAACCAGCCATGTTGAAGGCAGTAGTTTGAGCCCATTTCTAATACCACATCCTTCTCATGTTTGCCAGGGAGAGCCTTTGTCAGTGAAGCTACAGAATGGGAGCCCACCAGCAGAGAAGGGCCAGGTTGAAGTCAATGGCGACCACACGTGGCTGCATTTCAAGGCCAACTATGGAATGAAGCACGCTGTCAGAGGAAATGCAAATAACAGAATAAGCCCAGACCTTCTCCAAGAAAAGAGAGACTGTGGCAGGTATATGCAAAATGGTGGGATAAAACGCACTTTCAGCGAGCCTTCTCTGTACGGGCTTCACCAGAACAAAAAGCTTAGACAAGATGAAGAAGCAAAAGGAGGGAAAGAAACCTCTTTGGATGGCAGTGATCAACCGAATGCTCCCAATTCATGCAGTGAGGAGGACTTGGTGGGTTTTAGAATGGAAGAAGATGCAGCTTCAGTTCTCATACAGTCCTCCAAAAACAACCGTGGTGCTTCAGAAACTCCTCCTGCTCCCCAGGTTCAGAATGAACAGGAGAGCGAAAACATGAATTGCCACAACAGGGACATTGCCTTGCTCTGCAAGAGCAAGGCGGTGTCAATACCTAATGGTGCTATAGTTTCTGCCTCTTCTATGGAAAACATGCATGGTGAACTCCTTGAGAAAACGCTGTCTCAGTATAATCCAGATCATGTGTCCATTGCAATGCAGAAAACCACATCTCTTACAAATGCCATAAACACACAGGCTACTAATGAATCGACTTGTGGCACACCACATTCATCCCATACCTCAGGGCAGATCAACTCCCCACAAACCTCAAACTCTGAGCTGCCTCAGGTGCTAGATTCTGTGGCCACTGAAGTCCACAGCACAGAAGACGGCAGTAAGATATCCATATTGCCAGCCTGCTACACTTTTCAGAAACCAGAACTGCAGTTGGAGCAGCAAAAATCCGAAAATGCATGCCAGTCCCCTACAGAGAATACTGATGATCCAGGAAACATGGGGCAGGTTCCCAGTCAAGATTTCTCACTACCCAGTCAAGATTTCTCACTAAATCCCAACAGCAATATGAAAGCTCACAACAATAGCTCAGAGAGGCCAGCAGAGCCAGCAGAGGAAAATGGTGCTTTGTTCCAACAAGACCCCATGTTCAAGAAGAGTTATTTCAGCCCACCTCCTGTTGCAGCTTCTTCTCCTCTTCCAGAAATAAACAGCATTCTTTCCATGAGTGTTTCAGAAGTGCATAACCATTATGAGACCCAAAGTCAAGAGACGCATTTGAAGAAAGAGAAGAATGGAGAGCAGCAGCAGCAGCAGGGGGAGCTTGCAGCACAAATTCCTGGCCTTTGCCAGCAAGCACTTAGTTCTCAACAGGGTCTTCAACAAGAGGTTCAGGTTTCACAACAGACTGGCAATGAAACAAGAGATCTGATGCTTTCTGCAATGGCATCAGGCATCAGGCAACAATATCCTGATGAACTGCAGTCAAAACTGGAGCCGCGGGTTCAAGACACAGAAATAGTAGGAAGCAGTAAAGAGTTGCAACAACATTATCAACATCTCCTGGGCCAAATTAACCAGGAGACCGTAACTAACAATGAAAAAGACTTGGTGAAAAATCAGATGCATCAGTCACACCCTCACTTGCAGACATCTTGGACAGGAATATCTTCCCCTCACTTTCGCCCCAGTGAGTCTCCCCAAAAATCAAATGAGGTGCTCTTAAGGACAATGCTTCAGCTTCAGTCAAATTCAGCTGATCAGACCCATCCAAAACAATATCCTGGGAGCCCCAATGCATCAAAGGAGGTTACAGGGCAAACTTGCTTCCAGAACATCACACAATGTGAGCAGATACCAGCACTGTACAAGGGTGAGGCAACACAGCTGCCACCTCATCTTACAGCTGAGAAGCAAATGCAATTCCAAAAGCACTCACCACAGCCTACAAAGATGGATACTCTGCTCAAATCCCACGAACAGCAGCAAAATGCAAAGCACTTCCACTTTCAGCCGCAAGCTGAACACCACACTGAACAGTCCCTGGAGTCACAGATGAAGCCACAGCACTTAAATCTTCCACCATTGGAAAATGAACAGTTCCTCCGTTCACATATATTGCAACAGATGCTCCAGACTCAGCCAACACAATTGCCACACAGTCCACAGCTAACCATGGGCTCCCAGCAGCAATCATTGCACATGAAAAGCAGAGAACTTCCTCAGACCTTTCCTCATTCCCAAAGCAGACAAGAGCAGCAGCTAGAAGGGGCATCTTTCAGTCAGCTTAAACTGGAAGAATGTTTTGAAACTGCAAACAATTACTTCAAATCAACTGACTTCCCAATGCAAAACTCCCAGGTCAGGCCAGGTCCGGTGTCCGATATGAACAGTAAAGATTCCCTTTACAATCATGCTTTCAAAGCAAATACTGTTATGAAGCATTCCTACTTGAACAACATGCACTTAGTCTCTGAGAAAAAAGAAAACCCTATGAAAACCGAGCTCTTTGCAGAAAATGTAACTCATGACTTACAGCATATGCAATATTACACACATAGTATGCCCCCCAAACAAGATGTGCCCCATTGCTTTCAGGAAGAAGCTTCCCAGTCTCCACCAACTTCAGCTGGACAACTACCCTTCCAGCAAACACAGGGATATTCTAATTTGACCAGCAACATGTGTAGCCCGCAACCTGCCCAGATTCAGCAAAGGTACGTACCCTACAGTCAGCAATCGGCGTCCCATGCAGGAGTTGATCAGAGAGGCTGCCATCTTCCAACTCAACCTCAAAGGGATTTTCAGAAGCATGCTGCTCTCAGGTGTCACATCTTAAACAGGCAAGAACAACAAAACAAATCTGATACCTGTCACGGTGTGGGACACAAGCCTATTAAAGCTGAAGCTGGCTCCAAGTTGAATGTCTGCACCCCTCCATCAGCTGGGCAGCTGGAGAACAAAGCGTGGAAAAAAACAATTAAACAAGAGATTCAGCACTTTGGTTGTGAGAACATGCAACAAAAGAGTATAATCGAAACCATGGAGCAGCAGCTGAAACAGTTTCAGGTCAGAACGCCCTTTGATCACAAGTCCCTTACTATCAAATCACCAAAACATGTGAAAGTTGAAACTGTGGGACCCATCACTATTCTGTCAAGGAATTCCGCCGCTGCAGATTTCAACAGCCACGCAGCCTCTTTAGATCAACAGCCCATTCATTCCAGTGAAAAAACACCAACCAAAAGAACGGCTGCTGGAACAGCTCTCAATCATTTTTTAGAGTCACCTTCCAAGTTATTAGATACTCCTGTGAAAAACCTACTGGACACACCTGTCAAAACTCAGTACGATTTCCCATCATGTAGCTGCGTTGGTGAGTTGAGTTTGATGTTTCAGAGTTTGTTTTTAAATGAATACGATAATACCATTCTGCTATAATTTTCCAAGCCCAACCAGCTCCCTTCCTCACGTCACCCTCCTCCCCTTTCTACTATAGCGAAGACTTCCCTTGTCTTCTCAAATAAACGTCCCAAACTGCATTTCTCAGTTCGCAGGTTGGAATTTCTTATCCATAAAATTATAAGTATCTCAGGCTCTTACTGTTCCAGCCACTCTGTCTTTCAGTTTCCTTCATGGAAAATACTATGAGTTGAATGATGCTATACAACATGTGGTTGGTTATGGATTCATCCTGACTCCACTCTCCACTTTGCTTTGGGAGTGGTTTATGGTGTCTAGATTTCCCCACAATCAAATATGGGCATAAAAAGATGGCTGGTTTGTTACATTCTAAGCACATTATATGGGTGTGATTGGACAAGGTGAAGGCACATGTGGAGTTGAGATCCTTGCAGGTATGATTTCTCCTCTGAAGGTATCGCCTGAGCAAGGCCAGAAATGCAAGATGATTTCCTAGGCGAACAGAATGGAAAACTGTCCCTTTGAAATAACCCGTGCAAGTAAAATGAGGAAATTGCATCTAGTTTTGTCATGGTGAATTAGGACACTGGAAAAGTGTTGTTGCAGAATGACTTAAGACCAAATTGCACATGATAGAAGATAACGTCTTCATAAAAGACCTTTGGCCTAGCGCCACAAAGGAATAGAGGTGTGATTCAATGTATTAAATAAGTGCATGGTCTAAGGGTTCTGAATCCGCCATTTGTGGTCCTTCTCTCTACAGCCACTCCCCTTTTCTCCAGATGGGCTCTCTCTCTCTGTGCTGGCATCTGGCTATGGGGTACAGAAGAGCAGCAGGACATTTAGCACCGTCTTCTACTGTACACCCCTTTGGTATATCCAGATGCATGCAAATTGGGCCTGAACAGTCGTCCTCCATGTATGCACCACAATGAGAATAATGGACACAGATGCATGAGAATCTTTCAACGCATAGTACTAAACTTTGCTCTGCCTTTATAGAACCGGTCACACTGAGGCATTTGCATTTTCAACAGATGGTTTTAAAGGAATTTATCTGAACCCCAATTTACCTTTTTAAAAAATTTAATAACTGAGCCTTGGGGTGCATATATAGATAGCAGGAACTGCTGCAAAACTAAAAGGCTAATACTATCAATGAAAGTCTAGACTCATTTCCAACCTTTATTTATGGTCGAACCAGATGTAATAAAGCAGGAATGGGGAACTTCTGGCTCTCCAGATGTTCTTCTTGGACTTGAGCTCCCATTAGCCCGAGGCGGTGTGGCCAGTGATCAGGGAAAATGGGACTTGTAGTACAGCAACATATGGAGGGTCATAGGTTTCTTGCCTCTGTAATAAAGGGATTTTACCTTCCAGTATTTCTGCACCAAAAAAGCAATAAGCAGAGGTGCTGACATATCAAAAGTCGAGAATATGCCCTATCTGATTTTCTTCCATTAGCTATTCCACAGCGATAACTTTCATTGATTCCTGATGGTAACGGGAACAGAGAAAATCCTAATTGGCCCCTATATACAGTAACTGTATTAACCATGCCTTATTAATAATAAAAAAAACCGTTCGTTTGGCATTATGAGTTAGAACTGCCCCAAATATTGCTCACTCTCTTGTTTGGTACAATAATTCCCTATTTGCATTTTAAAGGTTTTTTTAAAAAAACTATTCCCAAATGAAAATAGTAACTCTTCCCCTTGGCCTGCTTTCAGTCCATGAATGATCTGGTGCACAGATGACCTGCCAAGAGTCTTTGGGGTTGGTTTTACTCATATGGGTAGTGCAAACAGGTCTTGTTACAGATTTCATTTAGATTTTTTTCCTGAAGTGAGTAAAATATGTATATAAGGTGAAACTATGCTTTACTATGTAATAGCTTTTAAAGAAATCGTCAAAAGCATACAGCGTTAACCTTTTGTTTGTTTGTTTGTTTCTGTCTTCTTTTAAACAGAACAGATTATCGAAAAAGACGAAGGCCCTTTCTACACCCATCTAGGAGCCGGCCCTAATGTGGCTGCTATTAGAGAAATAATGGAAGAACGGTAATGAATTTGCTATGGCACACGGCAGATTAAAATTTATCCATTGTGCATGTCAGGATTTCCACACACACACACACACACACACACACACACACACCCTTGGTCTTTGCACACAAAGAAGACCACAATTGCAGACTCCCAAGTAATTATTTGGTAGGCTGGCTATTCCTGCTTTGCCAACACAGGGCACTGTGCTATTCACTGGAGGACGACAACATTTGACAGGTCGGCTGGCTTGCTGTCCTGATCTGCCCACTCTGAGGCAGATGCCAGCAACAGGGCCAGCCTGCCAAATTAGCGAATTGGCATTGACTGTAAAAGCAGGAAAGGACCTAGCATTCCCAGTCGGGCCACCACACATGCCAAGGTACATAGGGGAGATGGCAAAAGGCATATGCAGCTCAAGGAAAGAAAACCTCAAGCAGGCTCCCCCACCAAAACAAAACAAAAACCACAACACAATTAAGAGTTCGTTTTCCTTCTGCTTATTTACACTAAGGAATCTAGTACCATCCATTGAATTCCATAAAGCAGGCATCCCCAACTTGCGGCCCTCCAAATGTTTTGGCCTACAACTCCCATGATCCCTAGCTAACAGGACCAGTGGTCAGGGATGATGGGAATTGTAGTCCAAAACATCTGGAGGGCCGAAGGTTGGAGATTCCTGCAATAAAGGAATAAATGACCAGTTTTAGCTTGGAAACTTGGTCATTATTTCTACAGCATATTACCTTTTTTTTTTTTACAGCACATTAATCTGATATGTTGGGGTGAGGGTTTTTTTCCTATTCTGTGTTGTTAGAATCAAGTGGCAGCCAAACAAATGTTATATGCAGATGAGATTTCATTGTATGTAAGGCACATATAACTGAAATTAGCTAAATTATGGACTCTAGGGCTTGTTTCTCTTCAACACAAATTTCCCATATTTTAAGGGGGCTTTCGTTCAGCTAGCAGCAAATTTAAAGCACATTCCACCTTTTTTCAAGACATTGCCTCCTTTTCCTCTGCACACTTACATTTCCATATATGTTTGATATGATAAAACAGTAGATTATCAGATGTAAATGATGAGCAGAGTCCTTTTTCAGGTAATTAGTTCAATGTTTAAGCTCATTCTTTCTTATGCTAAAAATGTGATACAAATAGCTTTAGCCCTGGAGGGCAGGTCTTAATATTCTTCTAAGGACACTTCACGCCTTTATTCTTTTGAGCAAGGAGATCAGATAGATATATCATAGAATCGTAGAGTTGGAAGGGACCCTGAGGGTCATCTAGTCCACCCCTGCAAATGCAGGGATCTCAATGAGCGTATTGTCTCTTGAAAAGTATGGTGTGAGTTTCTTGAAGCATTGTGTATACACATAATAGCTACAAGTAAAGGATGTGATTTGAGGAAGAATTGACAAATAATGGCACAAGGCTAACTCTGCTATATATAGTCTACACCACTGAGCCTCTTGGGCTTGCCGATCGGAAGGTCGGTGGTTCGAATCCCTACAAAGGAGTGAGTTCCCATTGCTCTGTCCCAGCTCCTGCCAACCTAGCAGTTCGAAAGCTCACCAGTGCAAGTAGATAAATAGGTACTGCTGCGGCAGGAAGGTTAACGGTGTTTCCGTGTGCTCTGGTTTCTGTCACAGTGTTCCATTGCGCCAGAAGCGGTTTAGTCATGCTGGCCACGTGACCTGGAAAGCTGTCTGCAGACAAACACCAGCTCCCTTGGCCTGAAAGCGAGATGAGCGCTGCAACCCCATAGTCACCTTTGACTGAACTTAACTGTCCAGCGGTCCTTTACCTTTTACCTATACTGCATGTGGATCTCTGTTGCTCAGTTCAGATGTTAATACTTACTTTTATTCATTTGTTTGGATTTTTAAAGGTATGGACAGAAAGGCAAAGCCATAAGGATAGAGCGGATTGTCTATACGGGGAAAGAAGGCAAAAGTGCCCAAGGATGTCCTATAGCTAAATGGGTAAGCCGTTTTCCCATTTGATCATATAAAAGATATTTTTAAGTTTAACAAAGAATACTAGTATTTGTTTGCTGTAAATACGCAGATCATTTTAAAAGAGAATATTACCATTTTTGTTTTTTTTTAAGCCTCTGACCTAGGATAGATGTCAAAAGAGGTATTATAACTTTGAAATGAGTTTATATTTAAAAAAATACCTAAACACAGACTGTATCTCAAAGTTCATGGCTGCCCTATCATGCAAAATTTGCAAAACAAAATGTATAGAAAGATGAAATGTAACCTAGTAAAAGTATTGGACTGAGCTAAGGAAAGTATAGTATTTTGAAAATGTACCTCCAATTAAAGGCCTCCCAAAGTTGGGAAATGCCTTGTATTTATTTAGGGTGCTGGTCCATCTAACCGAGTCTTGTCTGTTCTGATTGACATCTATGTAATATCTCAGGCAGGGGTCTTTCCCAGCCCTACTTTGAGATCACAGGGATTGAACCTAAAACCTTCTGCGCACAACACTGCAGTAAACTGGCAGACTGCAGTAAATCCAGGTAGACTGGATATGAGCATAAATGTCTTCCTTAAACAGACATTCTATCGTATTTTGCATCTCACTAAAAACCAGAAAACTTCTTTGGGGGGGTTGTATTTGCAGGTGATTCGTAGAAGTAGCACTGAAGAAAAACTCCTTTGTTTGGTACGGGAACGTGCAGGCCACAGCTGTGAAACGGCAGTTATAGTCGTGCTTATCTTGGTGTGGGAAGGAATTTCTCGAAGCCTAGCAGACAAGCTGTATTCCGAACTCTCCGAAACTTTAAGGAAGTATGGCACACTAACAAACCGTCGCTGTGCTCTAAATGAAGAGTAAGTGAAGTATGTACTTGTTTCTCTCAAAATGTGATCTTGTTATAGCTTGAATGCCTAGATTTAAGGAACAATAATTCCGACTAAAGTCATGCATCCTATGTTCTCCTTTTCATGTTTTTAGCTGACCTTAGTCATTGAAGTTATTGTCTTTATGTTGTCAGTAACCAAGAAAGTCTTCTTTGTTTAACAGAGAGCCCAGTTCACCTCCCTTCTATATCATTGCCACAATTCCCATCACGTTCAGTTCTGCAGCACACCCCTTTTGGGACTGTGCCACGACAATATGTGTGAGTGGTTACAGTCTAGTTCCATGCCTACCATGATTCTTTTAATGTTCCTTGCTGCATCAAAGTTCTTGCAACAAATTCTGCCCAGTACACGGAGTACCATATAGGGAGCAAGCTTCATTTGTGGTGCCTAGCTCAAAGTTACCCAGTCTGCATACATGCCATACATTTAAAACACATTTTCCCTTCTGCACAAAAAAGGATATTGTGTATTTTAGTGTATTGTGTCTTTTCAGCCCCAGTCATATTATGAAGACAACTTCCTGTTGGGTGTTCCCCTCCCACTTTTCCTAAGGAACTCATATGGTTTCATGGAAATGTATTCCAATAGACATAATAATAATAATTTATTATTTATACCCCACCCATCTGGCTGGGTTTCCCCAGCCACTCTGGGCGGCTTCCAACATAATATTAAAATACAATAATCTATTAAACATTAAAAGCTTCCCTAAGACATAAATTGTCTTTCCAAATTAGCCCTTACTATGTGTTTATTATACATCTTCAGTGCCCTGAATAGCTACACAGTTTTAGTGAGACAGGTGGGATTATTGTATGGCTCTACTGGCCATGTGCTTTGATGGCTTTTAACATGACCTACTGCAATACCAACAAAGACAGGACCATAGAAAACCAATAAGAATACCCTATAGCAATGTACCTCCTTCCAAGACATGGTAAAAATAGTGCACTGGGTTTGCACAACTGTCTCAGGTGTATTGGAATTTTGTGAATACGTAGGATTGGCTCCAGCATGGCCTTTCCACAGACAGGTGAGGTCCTTCTGTTTGCAGAAGAGTCTTTTGATCTGCAGGTCCTCCTGCAGATGGAAAGAGATGGAGGCAATTTTTGGCCATTCTTTCCCTCTGCAGCCCCTCAGCAGGCTTGTGCCCATGATGTTCTGGGAGTCTCTCAAAACCACTGGGATTAAATTTGGGAAGTGGAGGTGTTGCAGGAAGGAGAGTCAGTAGACATCACCTTACCTCCTATCAGCTGGAGCATTTCATGAGTGTCCCACCACTCATGGGGTCTCTGGACCTATTCAATACAATTCAGAGCTAAGGTGCCGTCCTTTGGTTTTCATTTTTTAATAAAGTAATTGTTTACAGTGCAATACTATGTATGAATACACAGAAACAAGTCCCATTGAGTTGAGTGGTACTTCTTCACAGTATGTATAGAATTGCAACCTTAATATGAACTGCTGGTTTTCAGAAGTTTGTAAGAAAACCACTTTCATATGCACGCGCACACGTAGAAGGTTGTTGTTTTGCTTCTGTATCAAATATCTATAGATGAAGGTAGAACACAAGCAATTGACTTCACTTACAATCACTCTTCCCCTTCATGGATCACTGCCTTGCCGTGGCGAAGGGGCTTGAATAACTCGGAGAAGCTATGAGCTATGCCGTGCAGGGCCACCCAAGATGGACAGGTCATAGTGGAGAGTTTTGACCAAACGTGATCCACCTGGAGCAGGAACCGGCAAGCCACTCCAGTATCCCTGCCAAGAAAACTTCATGGACAAAGACAAAAGGTATATAAAAGTTATGACGCTGGAAGATGAGCCCCTCAGGTCGGAAGGCGTCCAACATGCTACTGAGGAAGAGCGGAGGACAAGTACAAGTAGATTCAGAGCTGATGAAGCGGCTGGGTCAAAGCCGAAAGGACGCTCAGTTGCGGATATGCCTGGAAGCGAAAGGAAAGTCCAATGCTGTAAAGAAAAATATTGCATAGGAACCTGGAATGTAAGAACCATGAACCTTGGTAAGTTGGATGTGGTCAAAAATGAGATGGCAAGAATAAATATTGACATCCTGGGCATCAGTGAACTAAAATGGACAGGAATGGGCGAATTCAGTTCAGATGACCATCATATCTACTACTGTGGGCAAGAATCCCGTAAAAGAAATGGAGTGGCCCTCATAGTCAACAAAAGAGTGGCAAAAGCTGTATTGGGATGCAATCTCAAAAATGATAGAATGATCTCGATACGAATCCAAGGCAGACCTTTTAACATCACAGTAATCCAAGTTTATGCACCAACCACTGGTGCTGAAGAAACTGAAATTGACCAATTCTATGAAGACTTACAACACCTTATAGAATTGACACCAAAGAAGGATGTTCTTCTCATTATAGGGATTGGAATGCTAAAGTAGGGAGTCAAGAGATAAAAGGAACAACTGGCAAGTTTGGCCTTGGAGTTCAAAACGAAGCAGGGCAAAGGCTAATAGAGTTCTGCCAAGAGAACAAGCTGGTCATCACAAACACTCTTTTCCAACAACACAAGAGACGACTCTACACATGGACATCACCAGATGGGCAGCATCGATTGATTATATTCTCTGCAGCTAAAGATGGAGAAGCTCTATACAGTCAGCAAAAACAAGACCTGGAGCGGACTGTGGCTCAGATCATCAGCTTCTTATAGCAAAATTCAAGCTTAAACTGAAGAAAGTAGGAAAAACCACTGGGCCAGTAAGATACAATCTAAGTCAAATCCCTTATGAATACACAGTGGAAGTGAGGAACAGGTTTAAGGATTTAGATTTGGTGGACAGAGTGCCTGAAGAACTATGGATGGAAGCTCGCAACATTATACAGGAGGCAGCAACGAAAACCATCCCAATGAAAAGGAAATGCAAGAAAGCAAAGTGGCTGTCCAACGAGGCCTTACAAATAGCAGAGGAGAGAAGGCAAGCAAAATGCGAGGGAGATAGTGAAAGATACAGGAAATTGAATGCAGATTTCCAAAAAATAGCAAGGAGAGACAAGAGGGCCTTCTTAAACGAGCAATGCAAAGAAATAGAGGAAAACAAGAGAATGGGAAGAACCAGAGATCTGTTCAAGAAAATTGGAGATATGAAAGGGACATTTTGTGCAAAGATTACCATAATAAAGGACAAAAGTGGTAAGGACCTAACAGAAGCAGAAGACATCAAGAAGAGGTGGCAAGAATACACAGAGGAATTATACCAGAAAGATATGGATGGCTTGTACACCCCAGGTAGTGTGGTTGCTGACCTTGAGCCAGACATCCTGGAGAGTGAAGTCAAATGGGCCTTAGAAAGTACTGCAAATAACAAGGCCAGTGGAAGTGCTGGTCTTCCAGCTGAACTACTTAAAATTTTAAAAGATGATGCTGTTAAGGTGCTACACTCAATATGCCAGTGAGTTTGGAAAACTCAGCAGTGGCCAGAGGATTGGAGAAGATCAGTCTACATCCCAATCCCAAAGAAGGGCAGTGCCAAAGAATGCTCCAACTACCGCACAATTGCACTCATTTCACATGCTAGCAAGGTTATGCTTAAAATTCTACAAGGAAGGCTCAAGTAGTATGTGGACCGAAAACTCCCAGAAGTGCAAGCTGGATTTAGAAGAGGCAGAGGAACCAGAGACCAAATTGCAAACATGCGCTGGATTATGGAGAAAGCTAGAGAGTTCCAGAAAGACATCTACTTTTGCTTCATTGACTATGCAAAAGCCTTTGACTGTGTCGACCACAGCAAACTATGGCAAGTTCTTAAAGAAATGGGAGTGCCTGATCACCTCATCTGTCTCCTGAGAAATCTCTATGTGGGACAAGAAGCTACAGTTAGAACTGGATATGGAACAACTGATTGGTTCAAAATTGGGAAAGGAGTACGGCAAGGCTGTATATTGTCTCCCTGCTTATTTAACTTATATGCAGAATTCATCATGCGAAAGGCTGGGCTGGATGAATCCCAAGCCGGAATTAAGATTGCCGGAAGAAATATCAACAACCTCAGATATGCAGATGACACAACCTTGATGGCAGAAAGTGAGGGCACAAATCTCACATTTTGAGAGCACAAAATATGGTCTGAAGCTCAACATCAAAAAAACGAAGATCATGGCCACTGGGCCCATCACCTCCTGGCAAATAGAAGGGGAAGAAATGGAGGCAGTGAGAGATTTTACTTTCTTGGGCTCCATGATCACTGCAGATGGTGACAGCAGTCACGAAATTAAAAGACGCCTGCTCCTTGGGAGAAAGGCGATGGCAAACCTAGACAGCATCTTAAAAAGCAGAGACATCACCTTGCCAACAAAGGTCCGTATAGTTAAAGCCATGGTTTTCCCAGTAGTGATGTATGGAAGTGAGAGCTGGACCATAAAGAAGGCTGATCGCCGAAGAATTGATGCTTTTGAATTATGGTGCTGGAGGAGACTCTTGAGAGTCCCATGGACTGCAAGAAGATCAAATGCATCCATTCTTAAGGAAATTAGCCCTGAGTGCTCACTGGAAGGACAGATCGTGAAGCTGAGGCTCTAATACTTTGGCCACCTCATGAGAAGAGAAGACTCCCTGGAAAAGACCCTGATGTTGGGAAAGATTGAGGGCACAAGGAGAAGGGGACGACAGAGGAAGAGATGGTTGGACAGTGTTCTCGAAGCTACCAACATGAGTCTGACCAAACTGCGGGAGACAGTGGAAGACAGGAGTGCCTGGCGTGCTCTGGTCCATGGGGTCACGAAGAGTCGGACACGACTAAACGACTAAACAACAACAACACAACCACTCTTGGTACTACTAAAGGCTTTTCATAGAAGATGATCAGTTGTCTGCAGTTTGCTCTGGTTGCAAGAACATCATGGCTAAGACTTCCTTAGACACATGGCCAAAGGGTGGCTCTCCTTTCTAACAAACTTTTATTAAAGGCCTGTTGAAGGGTTCTTCAGGGAGTGCAGAAGTTGGGCTTAGTGCATATAGCTGCAAAAACATTATGATGTGTAAAAATTTTTCCAGGCAGGGATTCTTTGCAGGTGTCCCCACTATGCTTTTAGGTTGCTACAAATGCAGTTCTTTCCTTTCTTAGGCGAACTTGCGCATGCCAAGGCCTGGACCCCGAGAGTTGTGGCGCATCGTTTTCCTTCGGCTGCTCATGGAGTATGTACTACAATGGGTGCAAGTTTGCCAGAAGCAAGATCCCAAGGAAGTTTAAACTACTGGGGGATGATCCAAGAGAGGTAGGGACTAAATAGATGGCATGTGTGGCACTCTCTGAAGCATTTCCACTCTAGTTGTGGTAGCTGCTCCCAGATTTTGGAACCCCCACCCTAGAGGTGTTAAGACTGGCTCCCTCGTCGTTGTCCTTCTGCCAGCAGGTGCAGGTGTTCTTGTTGGAACTGACTGCTTTGACTATAAAGGCTGGTGCTTTCTTATTGTAATCCTTTGCATGGTTTTAATAGATTATATATAGTTTTAATCCTATCCATGTTTAATTGTTTTTAAATTATTGGTTCCCCCCCTCCCTATGATTTTAGCTGTTCGTGTTTTAATCAGTAAGCTTCCTTGAGTTTTTGTCAAGGAAAAGTGTTGGGAATGAATGAATGAATGATAAGATAAGACTCAATTTTTTAAAAAATGACTCACAGTGTCAGATGATGGTCTTAAGTTTTGTCAAAGTACAACATTCCGCCCTAGAATGGTATTTATTTCTAAGTGTTTCCATCTACCTCTTCTGTCTGACACAGGAAGGTGAGGAACCTTTCTGAAGTCAGGGGTTGCATTCCTTTAGGGGGAAGTGGGCAGGGCCTGAATGCAGGTAATGGGTGGAGTCAAGGTCAGAAGTGAGCAAGATACCCTTTCCCTCCTTCCTTCCCCTTCTCACACTCATGCACAGAAACAAACTTTTCATCTTTTCTCCATTCCCCCTTCATTCATATTTTAGCTGCCAAGCCAGCAGTTTCCCTGGTTTATTTGCAAATTCAAAATTCCTCTGTTTTATAACCTTAACTTTCCTCTGTGTTTCCCGATTTACTAGCATTGCATATTGTAACTGCAGTAACTTAATCTATTGCAATATCTCCATTCCATCTCCCCCTTTTTTGGCTTGTAATGGATAATTAGGACTGCAATGTAAACTTAATACAGTTGAATGTTAACACGTGAAATCACTCCTTTACTGAAAAATAGGAAGAAAAGCTGGAGTCCAATTTGCAAACTCTCTCGACTCTGATGGCACCCACTTACAAGAAACTGGCACCTGATGCGTATAACAACCAGGTAGGCCGAAAAATGGGTGGGGTGCTAGTTATCAACACTAAAACAACCTGATTTATTTTGCAATCACATTAAGTTTCATTATAATAATAAGTCTGTGGCAGAGACCTTGGGAATCTGAAGTTTAAAAAAAGCTTGAAAGACATCTTTAGAGTACATTTAAACACCACATGCTTCTTATTTTAGAGTAATTAGTTGGAAATAGCTACCACTCCTAAGATCACTGTGTGCTCTGACTAATGCAAATTAGATTTGTTGTAAATGTACTTATGATAATGGAGGAAAGTGGGATAAAAATTGCTTCTAATTATGTGAAGCCAAACAATGGATGAAACATGTTAAGGAGTTATTTGGGATTTCTTCTGATCTTGTATTGAAAGTAATGGCCAAATCTCCAAGAAAGACTTCCCCAGGACTTCCCAAGGTTCAGATCTTTCCCACACCAGAATTCCTCAGCTTCTAGCAGCAGTTGGTCTTGCATGTTCTTCATGGGACTGATTGCAGTGGTCCAAAAAATTAACTCTGCTAGTAAACTTAGGTTGGGATTTTTTCATTTCACACAGTATAATGTCACTCCATGAGATGCTCCTTATATACTTTGAATTGCCCCAATACATTTGATTACAACACGCATCTAATACTATCCCATAATCTCTAATATATATATATATATATATATATATATATATATATATATATATATATCTCCACCAAATTCTGGACAAAAGTGGCATAGGAGCCACCTCCTAGAGGCCAAGGTCCCTTTGCCCCTCCCTAAAATATTTGAGGGGCCCGAGACCCCTGCCCCAGAGTTGATGTGCATTGCCATTCAAGTGGTGTGCGTGCACCACATCCCAGATTCGATTATGTGAGGCAGGGCTTACCTGGGCCCCTCAATATTTTATTCAAGTTGGCACCCCTGCAATGTGGGAACCCAAAGACTGGGGCTCTTTGATGCTGCTGATTCTTTCCTCCTGTACAGTCATACCTCGAGTTGAATGCGCTTCAGGTTGAGCACATTCGAGTTGCGCTCCGCAGCAACCCGGAAGTAACGGAGCACGTTACTTCCGGGTTTTGCTGCTCACGCATGCGCAGATACTCAAAATGACGTCATGTGCAGTAGCGCCAAAACGCAACCCGCGCACATGCCGTCGCATCTTGCATCCCGTTCGGGATGCGAACGGGGAATTCTTTGTCTGTTACCGCAGTGACCAAATAGATTGTACTTAAAAGCTTTCTTGTTTTCTCCTGGCTCCTTGAACCACCGGGAGGGGAGGCAGAGATTCCTCCGGCTTGACATGGCATGTAGAAAGCCCACTAACAAAAATTACAGTTTCTTGTAAGCTGCAACAAGCACCTTTTTTAAAAAAAAGTTTAAGCAGGCTTCCTAGCTGCTACAGAAAGCAGTGCCACTGGCATTCTCCAGGTCACCTCACCTAGAATGCATTGCCAAGCCTACCTGCCCAGTAATGAGTTAAGGAGGAGGTCCAAGGGAGCCAGTTTGCCACTTCCATGTGCCTGACACCATTGTCTCATTTTGCCTCCTCATTGGGCCATTCCTGAGGTCTTATGCTTGGTAGTTCATTAGCAGTGCTGACTTCAGGGAGTCTGGTGGTCTTCCGTCACTGTCTTTGCCCTACAAGGTTTTGACTTCAACGCTGTAATGGATATACCCCCAGAGAGGTTACTTGGCCCCTGCACTCCACATGACAAATCAAAATAATCCAGCTAGGTCAAAAAAAATTCAACACAGCTGAGACTATGATTTCCTCTGGGATAATACAGCATTTTTAAATTAGACTATTTCAGTAATGCATGTGTGTGCTTGTTTTGTTTCAGATTGAATATGAACACAGAGCACCCGAGTGCCGTCTTGGTTTAAAAGAAGGCCGTCCGTTCTCAGGGGTCACTGCCTGCCTGGATTTCTGTGCTCATGCTCACAGGGACTTGCATAATATGCAGAATGGCAGCACACTGGTAAGTCAGTGATGCATGCAGCCGTACTCATGCAGAACTAATTTCATCTATTAAGTTCATTATTTTTTCATAATCTGTATTTCTATTACATTGGCACATGATGGCTGTCGGGGGGTGGGGGTGGGGAGAGAGAACGGCAAAATGCTTATATGAAGAGAAATGTGAAACCCTCCAGACTTTTAATTAAAAGATGATGGAGATTCCCAGGGTTCATTCTTAAAATCCTTGCTCCTAGCGAAACAACATAAGACTAGGAGAGCTCAAGAGCTATGTGGTTATAATCAGCTCCTGAATGGGAAGTTTAACTTGCAAAAAGTGCAGAATCTGACATCTTCATTTGAATCCTGAGACTCTTAAAGTTCCCAGCTGGAGGCAGAGGGAAGCACATTCCTTTAAAGCTGAGAAAACCAAAGGACTTTCTCAGAAAGTCGTGTGCTTCAACTCCCAACAGCATGTTTTGGGTATGCCAACTAATCCAGTGTCCCTTCTCTCCCTTTATCACGACGGGTCCTAAGTAAACCTTCTAAAGAGAGCCAGGGCGGTGTAATGGTTAGAGTGTTGGACTAAGACCCAAGAGACCAGGGTTCAAAAACCCACTGGGTGACTTTGGGCCAGTCACACATTCTCAGCCTGTCCTACCTCACAGGGTTGTTGTGAGGTTAAAATGAAGAGGGGGAGAACCATGAATGCCATCTTCAGCTCCTTGGAGGAAAGGTGGGATATAAATGTAATAAATAAATCCATCAATAGTTCTCGGGTGGGCGCTGGAATGGCACTAGGTGGGCGGTGCTATGCTTCAGTCATTTGATGAGGCAGATATGTCACCCTTGACTGGATGTGAGCTCCTCCCCTTTCTTGGACGTCACTTTGCTTTCTGACTCACCTGAAGATCGGTCATATTTCACTACTGCTGTTGTGGCCCCCACTCTCTCAGTCTAACCTGCTTCACAGAGCTGTTGAGAGAATGCCACCTTGCCCTTGTTGCAGAAAAGATGGGATAATAAAGCAAATAAGCCCATTAGAGACACATGCCATACGACAGACCTTTGTGTTCTTGTCATGCTAAGAGGGCATTTATTGTTTTAACAGGTCTGTACGCTCACCAGAGAAGACAATCGTGAAATTGGCCAGACGCCCGAAGATGAGCAATTGCATGTGCTCCCTTTGTACAAAATCTCCAACGTGGACGAGTTCGGAAGTGCAGAAGGTCAGGAAGAGAAAAAACGGAACGGCAGCATCCAGGTCCTTAGCTCCTTCCGGAGAAAAGTAAGGATGCTTTCTGAGCCAGTTAAGACTTGCCGGCAAAAAAAGTTGGAAGCTAAGAAAGCAGCCACTGAGAAGCTTGCCGCTATGGATAATGGGTCTAGCAAACATGAGAGAGAGAAGTCGAACGCAGCACGCCAAAAGCAGGCCATCTCAGAGGCATCGGGTCATGCAAAGCAGTTAGCAGGTATGGTTTGTAATTTGTACGTACCATGGTTCATGGTTCTGTTTCCTGTGCCGTTTGTATTATTTACACTCAAGATAAGGGTGAGGCAGGTTAGGTGGCATGCAGTGCATGTGTTCAGCTTTTAGTGTCTTCTTAGTTACGCCGGCTCCCTTGGCCAATAAAGCAGGATGAGCGCCGCAACCCCAGAGTCGGCAACGATTGGACCTAATGGTCAGGGGTCCCTTTACCTTTACCTTTATAGTTCAGTGAGGGACGCAGGTGGTGCTTTGGGTTAAATCAGAAGGTTGGCGGTTCGAATCCCCGTGACAGGGGGAGCTCCCATTGCTCAGTCCCTGCTCCTGCCACCCTAGCAGTTTGAAAGCACGAAATGCGGGAAGGTAAACAGTGTTTCCGTGCACTGCTCTGGTTTCCAGAAGCGGCTTAGTCATGCTGGCCACATGACCCGGAAGCTGTACATCAGCTCCCTCAGCCAATAAAGCGAGATGAGTGCCACAACCCCAGAGTCATCCGCGACTGGACCTAATGGTCAGGGGTCCCTTTACCTTTTTATAGTTCAGTGAACGACTTCAGAATATCTGTAGACAATGTTTCAGTTACTTAAGGTATTCGTATACCACCTTTCCTTACACCAAAGTGGTGCTTGATTCAAGCTGTAGACCTCATCGCATAGTTGTTTAAACATACTTGCTTATACCAATTCAGGCAATGTGTCCATCTACATTGCCCAATAATGCCTACTTTGCTTCAGGAAAGCTGCTGCCAGTCATTCACCTGATGTGCAGATGGAGGCAGCCGATGGGCCACCCAGCAATTCCATTGCCTTTTCCTTGATAAAGCATGTGAAAAGTATGTTAGAAGTAAATAATTCAAGAGGTTATTTAGGGCCAGTCTTACTATGATCCTAAACATATATCCATATATTTAAAAATGCATCTAGTGGGAGCTTTCATTTGAATGTAAGTAGCGTCATTTGAGAGGGGAGCTTTTAAGGTTTGTGTTGTCCATCCCCAGCTATTACAGCTACACTGGGTGCCATTTACAAATATCTAAAGTGCACAGAAGGAGGGAGAATAGCAAGAATGCATTTAACATATCCAGGTTGGCCCTTAGGCTTCTATCCGAATGGGCCTCTTGAATAAGTATGAAGACTGAACAACCTCTTAGTGTGCAGAAATGCCCTTACAGCCTTCAGGGTTCCTATTTTTTTCTGTGGGCAAACAAGACATAAGCTGCAAAAAGCTGTGTGTATACAATCTCCTAAGGATGTTCTTTCCCTAGCCATGTCAAGCATGGAGAAATACAAACAGTGGGTTCCTGTTGTTTAACTTTTCCTTGCTTACTTTCTTACTCTCACAAGACAAACCGTACTTAACAACTTGCTAGGCAGAAGGGTTTGGGGTGGTTGTGTTGCACTTACATTGTGGAAGTCACAGGCAGTTCATTCCAGAGAAATGCAAGCAGTGGGGCTTTCTTCTCTCCTCACCCTCCTTGAGTCCTTGAAAACCACCTCTGAGAACTGGGAGATGGAGGGCCCAAGCACTACCTGCAGGCTTTATATAAGCATCCGGTTGGCCATTGTGGGAACAAGATGTTGGGATAGATCAGGGGTAGGCAACCTAAGGTCTGCGGGCCGGATGCGGCCCAATCGTCTTCTCAATCCAGCCCACAAACGGTCCAGGAATCAGCATGTTTTTACATGAGTAGAATGTGTCCTTTTAATTAAAATGCATCTCTGGGTTATTTGTAGGGCATAGGAATTCGTTCATTTTTTTCCCCAAAATATAGTCCGGCCCACAACATGGTCTAAGGGATGGTGGACCAGCCCACGGCTGAAAAAGGTTGCTGACCCCTGAGATAGATGGTGTGATCTTATGTTACGTTCTTATGGCTGTGCTGGGAAGAGGCAGCATCCCTGTTTTCTCTTCAATAGATGGAAAAGGCACAGAAAGGGACAGCCAAAATTATCAAGGTTCTGGAACACCTATAAGAAAAGATTGCTCATTTAGGGGAAGTTTGAGCTTAGAAAGAAAGCAAGGAAAGAAAGTCAAGATTATAAGTGGTGTGGAGAGAATGACTAGGGAGATCTTCTCCCACTCTCATAATGCTAGAATCCAGAGTGAAACAGTGTTGGGATCTTCAAGACAAACAAAATAATGTACTTATTCACATAGCACAATGGTTCCCAATTGGTGGTCCACAGATCGCAGGGGGTCAATAGCACCATTCGCATATCAAAAACTGTCATAGATATGTCAAAATTTTTGAAAGTAGGGGGTCCACGGCTTGGCTTTTGAAAAACAAGGGGTCCACAGTACTTAGTTAATTGGGAACCACTGACAGAGCATATAGCTGAGTTATGGAATTAACAAATGTAAGATTTGGTGATTGCAACCACCAGCAGGTTTAAAAGGGAATTGGGCTGTGTACACACTGCTCTTTATAACCAGTGTGCTCTCATTGCTGATTTGGGAAGCAGTGTGTGCATGACATTAGCCATAATCCGTAGCTATCCTGCTGTTTGTTATGAAATTCTGCATAATCATGCAGTCTCTCTAAATCAGCTTCTATCATAAATGAGAAAAAGATGTTCAGTAGGGCCATCTTTTTCTCCCCTCCCCCTTTTCTTCCCCAACTTTATACTGCATATAACACTAATGTCTCATAACAAATGTAATTGAAATGTAGAAAACACAACCTGAGAAAAAGAGACAATGCATGCACTTTTGTAAACGAAGAAAATATTTAATGAAAATTGTTTTTTTAAAAAAAACTAGAGAGAGAGCAACCTAGCTGGCAATGCGTGCACAGCCTTAGATACACTGATACGGCTATCAGTTGCTCCTGGTCATGATGGTGAAATGTTATCTCCAGTATCCCAGACAGCATGCGCCAATAGCACAAGTAGGAAAATGCTATTGTCTCCTTATTCTGCTTGTGGGATTTCCACAGGCATCTCATTGGCCACCATGAGAACAAAATATTGGAGCAGATGGGTATTTGGACTGACCCGTGGTGGTATTATTTATGTTCTTAATAGCAGGGGAGAACTCTCCTGTGCTGAGATGCACCAACATCTTTGAGGGGTTGGAGTAGCAGTGCCTCTCCTAAAACACAAGTAGCCAGAAAATGATTCCTGTACCTGTGATAATTGGTGTTCTTACCTCCTAAAGCTATTTCTTCCTCTCTCTCTTTCCCCTTCCACAGATCTGTTACGTCTTTCAGGACCAGCCATGTCACAGCAGAAGCTCTACCAACATCCACATCATGCCCTCCCTACTAAACCTCAGTCAAACCACATCAACTCATACACTGCTTCAGGTCCCACAAACCTCTACATGGGTTTGCCAAATCCAGCCAATCCCTATCCGAACTCTTCACATGCTTCAGATCCTTATGGTGGGTCCAGCCCCATGAATATCTACCCAACGTCTTCGCAACCTGCAGGAGCCTATTTGAATTCTCCTGGTCTCGTGAATCCCTATTCTGTACACTTGGGTCAAAATAACCAATATCCCCATTATCAATGCAATGGAAACTTGCCTCTGGAGAACTGTTCCTCCTACTACAACTCCTATTCGTCTCAGCCTCAGCATATGGACTTGTTTAGGTATCAGAGCCAAGACTCTCTATCTAAGCTAAGTCTACCTCCAATTCATACATTATATCAGCATAGGTTTGGAAACAACCAGAACTTTGGGCCCAGGTACTTGAATTATGGAAACCAAAATGTGCAGGTAGATGCGCTCAACAGTTGCACAATTAGACCAAATATTCAGCATGCAGGTTCCTTCCCTCCTTACCCCACACATGAGGCTGATGGTCCTTTTATGGACATCGCCTCTAGACTGAAATCAAATCTAAATAATCCAAGTGTGGACTACATGAATAAAAATGGCGACCATCTCTACCCCCCTCCGCACTTAACACATGACTACCACCCTGCCGCCAGTATGTTCAGCGGCCCTGCTCATCCACTCCACCTCCAGAACAAGAATAACCAAAATGGGTTGTCAAACATGCTTCCAGGTCTTAACCACAATCAGACTGCTTCCCAAGAAGGCGCAAACAAAACTGAGGTGCTCCCGCCAGAAGATCCCGATGACGTCTGGTCAGACAATGAGCAGAGCTTTCTGGATCCAGATATAGGTGGCGTGGCGGTCGCTCCGTCGCACGGGTCAATTCTCATAGAGTGTGCGAAACGTGAGCTCCACGCGACGACCCCGCTGAAGAACCCTAACAGGAACCACCCCACAAGGATCTCGCTCGTCTTCTACCAGCACAAAAGCATGAACGAGCCGAAGCACGGCCTAGCTTTGTGGGAGGCCAAGATGGCGGAGAAGGCGAGGGAGAAAGAGGAGGACTGCGAAAAGTATGGTCCAGATTATGTGCCTCAGAAAGTGCATGGCAAAAAAGTGAAGCGGGAGCCGGCTGAACTGAATGAGAATTTGGAGCCAACCTACATGCGTTTCATCAGGTCTCTTGCACAAAGGACTATGTCTCTCACCACAAACTCCACGGTTACCACATCTCCATATGCCTTTACACGGGTTACAGGGCCTTACAACAGATATATATAAACATCAGATCTTCGTTCATTACCTCATCTGTTTTTTTGTTTTTGTTTTTATGTTGGTAGGTAGTCGTTCTTTTTAGGCTGGAGACAAGGGAAAAGGGCAAGAGACAGTATTTTTTTTCCTTTTCTTTTTAACTTGTCAATGGGAAAACCTCCTTGTACCAGCAAAAGAGGTAACATTGCCACCGCATTCATTTGGTAACTGGTCACAGGTAACACGTTAACAACTAAAAACCAAAGCACCCTATGCAAATTTAACGTTGAAATACTGGCTTGACTACTTACTGGAAGACAGAGAATCTGTATGCATAACCTTTAAAATTTTTACATCTGTGACCATTTAAATGAAAGCAAGTTAATTAAGAGAAGTTTGTTTTTAAAGTAAAAATACTGTAGTATTTCAGTAGCAAAAATTTTAAATTACCAACTGGTGCTGAATCTATGATGTGCTGAAATACTGGAAATGCAGCTTTTTAACATGCAGGGGTTTGTTTGTTGCTATAATCTTAATCTTGACTTGATTTTTATTAATCAGGATAGCGACATATATTACATAAAGAATACAAAGCGAAACACTGAATTTGTTTGGCTATTCTAAAACATGGTGCTATGTATAAGAATGGTGTCTAATGCAGCAGCTAAACAGTTTTAATGCCTTTTATAACCATGAAAACGTTAAAAAGTATGCTGTGCTCTCCTTAAACGGCAAACAGGACCTTTTTATTTTTGTGTTTGTATCCAAATTGTATTTGTTTGTAATCTGGTGCTTAAAAGAAAAAAAACACCCAGTTTTTAAAATATGGGAATTGTGGTCAGGCAGGACCAAGATCCAGCAAAGCTTATATATGAGCAGTTGGGTGACTTTGTGTCTCAGGAGCTTTTCATTATAGTTGGTTGCATGGGCAAAGAAGCAAAAGCAACATTTTAAACTGAACAGCAGTCTGCCTTTTCAGCAATGGAAGTTTCAAAGACAGCATCCAAACAGCAGCTTGTTTAGGACATAACACTAAGACATTGTTTACATGAATGAGCAGAATCAAGCCTTGGGTTTGCATGCTCTTCTCCTCCATGGGTGTAGCCAGTGGGGCCCCAGCCCACCCCCCCCCACCCCAGTCAAGTACAGTGGTACCTTGGTTGTCAAACTTAATCTGTTCTGGGGGTCCCTTCGACTCCCAGAATGGTTCAAAATTCACTCAGTCGGAAGCTGTGGAAGCCCCATCAGACGTTCAGCTTCCAAAAAAGGTTCGCAAACCGCAGCACTCACTTCCGGTTTTGCAGCGTTTGGGAGCCAAAATGTCTGAGTACCAAGGTGTTCAACAACCAAGGTACGACTGTAAATAATACCTAACACAAAGTAGAAAGTTATGCATGTAGCATATCATTTCAGCCATTCTCTACAGAACATCAGAATTTAGGATACTACTGCAGTGTGTCTAACTGGCCATCTCTCTTGCATAGCTATATACCACTTGTACCATAGAGTGGTCATTCAGTACCTTGCGGAAAATAAAGACCTGGCTAATGTCAGGGGAGCATCTCAATGGGCTAGCTTACTGAGTGAAAAAGGAGGAATTTGAGAAGGGAGTGCTGAACAGATTTTCAGCAAATCCAAGAAAACTTGTTTGAGTTTAGATTTTTTAAAATAAATTAAGATGAAGAAAGGCATTTTCTTTGTAATTCTGCTAAATATACTTGTTAACCACAAGGAAGGTACTCCCTGGTGTTAATATTTTCTTTAACTTCCTTGTTTTCAAATAACTCTGAAGATTTTGACAGATTTTTCTGAGCACTCGGGGTCAAAAGAAATTTAATCCCCAGTGGTCATAATCCTAGACTTCCCTGTTTGAACCTTGTGGGGAAACTGCAGTAAAAAAAATTCCAAAAAGCCTCTGGCTGGGTGCAAATTTATTTCCCACCAGCTTTATGGTTGTTTGGGACTGCAGTCAGAATTGCTACCTGTGAGCAATTCACTAAGGCTACTTTAGATGCTATATGGGTAGGGTTATGTTATCAATGCACTACCACAGTACTGGAACATGCCATGTTGCTCCCTCAGACACCGTGAGAATGGGATGCTGAAAAATATGGCCCATTGGCTTGATTTCACAGGCTCTTCTTATGTTTCTGTGTTCTTAGTTCTCACTTTTAATTCCTAGCCCATCCCTTCCTCTGGCTTGCTATACAGTGGTGCCTCGCAAGACGAAATTAATCCGTTCCGCGAGTCTCTTCGTCTTGCGGTTTTTTCGTCTTGCGAAGCACGGCTATTAGCGGATTAGCGGCTATTAGCGGCTTAGCGGCTTTAAGAAAAAGGAAATAAACTCACAAGAACTCGCAAGACGTTTCGTCTTGCGAAGCAAGCCCATAGGGAAATTCGTCTTGCGGAACGACTCAAAAAACGGAAAACTCTTTCGTCTTGTGCGTTTTTCGTTCTGCGAGGCATTCGTCTTGCGAGGCACCACTGTATTTCTGCTAGAAATATTGGATTTTAAAAATATTTTCGTGGTGGCACTATGCTTCGGCAAGGAGCCTTACAATCTATTGTGCAGAGACGGAATAGCATACTGCTGACTAAAGTAAATAGTGCGATAAAGGCAAAAATTAAGGGTTTGGGTCATCTAGAAAGACCCTCAGCCCAAAAGCCCTTAGGCTGCGTGCCCATATAAGCTCTGTTGGATCTCATTTGAATGCATCCATCAAGTCAAGGCCTGATTAAGGAGAAAAAATATTAGAAACATGTGAGGTTGTTTTGTTTTATTTAATGGTGCTTGAAAAGTACTTTGTCTGCCTGAAGCACTGGCAAACACCACTGGGGTACTAAACCATGTTAGAAGCTTATTTTATCTTTGGGGCAAATCCATGTAAAAGAGCCCCGATACTATGCTTTTTCAAAAATAAAAATGAGAGGGGCAATTTCAATCTTGAGAAGTAGCAGAGGAGAGTGATCATCCTTTTCCTCCCCCCCCCCCACTAAAAATAGGGGTTGAGACTATGTAGATAAGCCTCTTACTTAAACATCTACTGGTGTACAAGAGGAACACCCGCTTTTAAAGGCAGAATCACACTTGGGTTGAATGGATGCAAGGCATTGCCTTTACAACACACTCTGCCCCCCCCCCCCCAATCTTCCAATTCCTTGGTGCTCATCTTACACAGCTGTACTGTGAACATGTTTTTCTTTACCATTATGATGGCGCGTGTTATCCCTCAAATCGTATATACATTTTGTGTTTGTTTAATATTAGCTTCAGATAATTAACAGCATGGGTTAGACTTGATAATTGTGTAGTTTAGTCTACTTTTTTTTTTAAGGATCCATAAAAGTTCTCCAAATAGCTGGGCAGACTGAGGTGTTCAATGGATTATTTATGTTACAGTATACGTCACACTGCTCAGTGTAAGGTGCCCATCTTCACTAGGATGGTTTGAGTAGAATCAAGACACGAGATACAGGGTTATTCTGTGCGATTCTGTCGGTGGGGGGAAAAAGGATACAGAACAGGCAGCTGGCTTGCTGTGGCGGGTTTTTAAATTGGTAATTTGTATTAAACAAAATGCAAGCAAAAGAGATGTATAGTAAGTAACTTAACTTGTAAACAGTTTTTTTTAATGCTTTAGTATTTTAATACTGTACAAATATATAAATATAAATCTATTATATATCTAGATATATATATATATATACATAGATATATATATATGGGTTTGGAGCTGAATTGACATCACGGTGCTACTCAGCCTGCTATTAAAATATAATGTGATCTAAAAATACATTAAAATGTTTGAATGATGTTCCTACTTGTCATATACCTCAACACTAGTTGGCAATAGGATGTTAAATTGGGAGCGGAAGCTTATAACATTGTTATATCACCTTCCCCTCCCTCTCTTCCCCCCCTGATTCTTTGAAAAATAAGATATTTTCTCTCTCTCACTCGCTACTTGATATTATAGCAAGTATAACTTGAACTTCGACTTTTTAATGTTTTTGTTCTAAAAATTCAGGGATATATCAGCTCATGATCTCCTTTGTAAGCCAACATATCATCCAAGTGTGTGAGAGAGTAGGGGTGAGAGTGAGTGTGTGAGAGAGGGTCTGTGCGAGAGAGAGAATACTGTGCGAGGGTGTGTAAATGTGTTGTGAATGTTGATCAAAATATTATCCTTGAGGGTTTTTATTTTAATCTATTCTATTGTTTGAGGATTCAATCTTTATCTTTCTCTAATACTTGTAAATGTACTGATGGCGATTAAAGCTATATTTTGTGTAAATTCATCCGCTCCTTTATACAGTGATGAGAGTGTTTTAACGTTTTAAACTCTGTTTTCTTCTGGGAGGGGTTGTATGTTCCAATCACAAAGTGGAAAGTAGAATGCACTGAGCAGTCAAAAGGGAAACTGTAAAGTAAGGGGGGGGGACTTGGTTCCCCACCTGTCGCAGGACTACAACTCCCATGTGGGCTAGGGAAGATAGGAGCTGGCCACAGACTCCTCGTTCCTGTTGTTAAGTCAAGGATTTGGCAACTGACCATTTGCTAGAGGGTTGTGTGTTTCCAAGGAGATTAAAAGTTAATTGGCGGGAGCAGGAGCTGCGAGTAGGGAGCTTAGACAATTTTATGAAGAATAAGCGGCTACTTCTAGTCAAGGTGACTCTATGCTGCCTCCAGGCAGCTGCAGAGGACCCACTGTGAGAAAGGACTTTTGCAGTCATGTCCTGCTTTTAGGATTCCCAGAGGCATCCGATTGGCTAATGTTGGTCTGACTGAGCAATGTTCTTCTTAGGACGTCTTGCTTTGTAAAAATGCAGACCTAATGCCTCAATGTTTGGCTGGGGAATATATTATAAGGCAAAGACCCTGACCCATGAAACGAGTTGCTGCTTCACTCTATACATTGAATTGTCCCACCAATAGCACTGTGTGTAATTGGGCAACGTAAATATTGACCATTACAGGACCAGTGCCTGAATTTGGCCTTTGAAAAGTGATATTATAATCACCGTTGGATGTTGGAGAACTGCAGTGGGAGACATCCCCTCCTCATTCCACTGCCAATACCACACTGTAAATAGAAGTCCTTTGAGTATTTTACTTGGAAACAAATCTTTAACCTTTGCAACTTTAATTAATAAGCATCCTTGCAATCACCCAAAGCTGGGTGAATCTCGGAGACCTCAGTACAAGCCAAGGCTGCTCTGCTTTGCTGCATGTTGAGGAGAAAAACCTCGTCAGTGATGATTCTCAACATTGCATTGAACCCAAACCAAACAGCCTCTGCTTGTGTGGAGCTCCACATGGGAGCTGCTGAATCCACTTAATCAAACCATCTTCCAGTAATATCATGTTTTTCCATTTACCATTTCTTTGCTGACTTAAGGCAACAAGTGCCGATTTAAAAACAGGTTTTAGGTTGGATTCCAAAGAACAGTGTCGGATTTATGTATAAGCTAAACAAGCTATAGCTTAGGGCCCACTCTCTTGGGGGGCCCCAAAAAATGTAAAAGAAAAAAACTGGATGTACATTTCCAAAATATAAGGTAAAGAAACAAATAAAATAAAGCCTACATACAGCAACAGTGTTTTGTGTTGTGTAGGCTCCTATGATGTACGTAATGGGCCCCGCCTGCTAGCCTGCTCCCTAAAATATCACTGGTTTGCTCATTTCTATATCAATTACTTTGATAAAATACATATTTTGTTATGTGCAAATGGCTTTAGATAACTATTGGGTCCATAAATTACCATATATCAACACAAAAAACAGCGACAATTTGTTTTTGACAAAGGACAGCTGGACATATAAAGGGCCCCATTACCTTCAATAGCTTAGGGCCTCATCAAACCTAAATCCGGCCCTGCCAAAGAACCATGAGCAACAT